GAGCATTGAATATAAAATTTAGATTTGAAATTAGAGTTCATTAGAACTTAATTTTATTGAAAAAAAATTGATACCGCCAATCCCAAATCCGAATTTTAATTTTCATCTCAACCAACAACAAGATTAAAATTTGTAAATAACTTTCTACTTATAATAATCTTCATTTTTTATTTTTTGGGCTTCCTTATTGTATGGATGGCAATTTGTGTTCACAGGTCGTAATCGTCTCGCGTCGATATAAGAATATTATACTAAATAGCTCAATCTCAAGACGACTGTTTACTATTCGTGTAAGAAACCCTCAACACTAATTCGACCTGTTTATTAAACAGGTTATACGTGTAACCCGTTTAATGACCTATTTATTAAAATAAAAAATAATACTATTTAAATTATTAATAATACTCAATCAAATAATAAATACTAAAAAAATATAAATCCAAATTATTAAATACTATTTAATCTATAAAAAAATAAATTATAAGATACTAGAGAATTATTTTTGGAACCTAAATATAAATTTATTTATGACATGTATAGTTAAACAGGTATAAACGGGTTATACCAGTTGAATCCTCTTAATCAAAACACGATACGATTAAATAAATATCAATCCATTACAACCCATTTCTTAATTTAAATTTTTTTAATTTGTGTCATGTTAAAATTATAGTAACGAGTGTATCAAACATTACAACCCATTTCTTACTGTCACAACTGACCATCTAATCCGTCCAAAATAATGCTTCTTTTTCTTAGTTTATATTTTTAAAACAAAAAAATTTGGGTAGAAGTACACAATAAAAGCTCGGCACCTTAATTATTAGATATAATTAGGCCAGAGCCAGTGTGATTTCAATTCGTTTAATTTGATGAATCATGACATTTCATTAAATGATGTGGACCAAGCGAAATCAGAACTTAAGTCGAATAGGAATAAAATCACAGTGAGAACAAAAATATGTTCGGAGCTGAAGAATAACAATCATTTAAAAAGATTGTGAGATTTAAATTATTATTATTTTTTTAGTACAGTCAAAAGTTTGATTACTTTATTATAATAAAACTTTTTAATAAGCTCGTGGACTCATTTAAAAATTAATTTCAAGGAAAAGAAAGCAGGAGTTTCTTTAATTTCATTTGATTAGGGAAGGTTAGTATAATTTTGTTAATCCCTAATTGTTCACTCTCGTGATTGCTCAAAATAACATAAAACGAATCTTCAAGTGGGCCACTGAAACAGATCCATCGGATAATATCTCTTTTTCTATTCTGATTTGATGGGCACGAGCCATTGTAACAGTCTATCGTCTTGAATAAAACTCATTTGAAAAAGATGGATCAAAATTAGTACATTTTTTTACAAATGTTCGACATATCATGTCATCGTCTGCATTGGACATATCATTAAATTGGCAGCTATTTCTCTTGGAGTCTAAACTTTCGTTGGAGAGAAAGGGAACCCGACCAACACAACACTACCGTAGATTTACTATAAACTAGTGTAATCCTTAGTTTAGTTAATCTAAATTCATCTCAATGTTACAAACACCCATTGAAGTTTCACTTTCAAGTCCTGTTCGTTTAGTCATTTGGCTAACCTTTGTGTTTAACTGATTTTTTTCTTAATTGTAATTATATATATATATATTTAATTTATAATACATATATCGACCTCACAACACACCTACTATTCCACATATTACATGTGTTGTTTTGGTTTTACTTCATAAAGTTTTCTTAAATATTAAAGAAGCCATAAAGTTATGAGGTTGATATACCTTAAAATTAAATGACACGAGTTTAGTCATACTCATACATAATGTTTCAATTTGGTTAAATTTGGTAAACCAAAGAAAACTAAAGTTTAATTGAAACGTTTAATGTATTTTTTATTTTTATTTTTTTGTGTTTGGTAAAAGTTTATGTTGAATCTATCGGGTAAAATATGTAAAATGATTTGTTAAAAATTCCTTATCCTAAATATTTTAGAACAACAAACACAAGAAAATACAAAATATTTAATATTTTGTGCTCAAACACACGAAACATTAATACAAAATTTTGACTCTTTATATAATTTCTCTTTTAGTTTTATGTCTTGAAATTATCCATAATAAAGGTAAAAAAACATAATGTTTTTTTTTTTAAAATGATAGAGAAAAAATAAAAACTAACTAATGTAAAATTTGATTTTTTTTTTTTTTTTTTAAAACAATCTAGTCAGAAAATGAAAAAAGAAAAGAAAAAGAAAACAAAGAAACCAAAAGGTTTCAGCGATAATGATTTACTATTTCAAGACTGAGAGAAGATAAACACGGAGTATTCCAAACCGAGGGATTACGAATGTGGCTCGACATTCGACAATCACGGCTTCACATATGAATTTGGGAGCGGGTGACACAATTTTTGGCGGTGGGTCCACCAGTAGCTAACTGGTAACCATTGTCAATCCTGCGTATTTTGAGCCTTTCATGATTTGTTGGGTTGGGTAATCTGACCTAAACGTTTAAATAGCCGATAATTAATCGATAATTGATGTGAAATTCGTTTGTCAGTTCAAACAATTTTCCTATCGAATGAGGCAATTAATTGAATAAAACGTCGCCTGTCATTCTATCGGCTAGGAAATTTTGGAAACTACGTGCCATTCTCCCAACTTGACTTTGTAATTTCTGTATTGAGTTAAAAAAAAAAAAAATCAAAATATGATAGAGAAATTATTAAATAATCTAAATTAACACTCAGTAAACTAATTTTCTACCAGATCAAAAAATAAAAAAATAATAGAGAGTAATAACATTCATACTTTTAAATTTAAAAAAAAAGGAAACTTATATTATAAAAAATCTATATATTAATTTATATTTGAGTTACTTCAACAAATGTCCCTTTTAATAATTTACCCCGATGATTATTCCGCCAATGAAATGTGCGCTTTACGTTGGCCCACGCTGTGCTAAAGCTCATTGGCTCCACTTTCGGCTCCAACTTTTCACATCAATCCAATGGCCAATATTTCATCACCTGTTCTGCGTTGGAGTGACTTTGTTGTCAAAACAATTAGTCGAGCATCATGCTTGTCATCAAATTGTGGACCCCCACAAAGACAGCTCTGGGTCCCACCATGTAGGAGTGAAAACCGAGCCGAGAGGAGATTGCATTTTGAGCAATTTTGTAATGACATTTTTAGCCATTTTTTTTATTTTTTTACTGTGATGCCCACACACACACTCCTTAAGACCATAATTATCCACCGTTGGATTATCTATCATCACTTCCATCAAAGTGCTATCATGGCCACTGATGCCCCATCACGTTGTATTGGAGGGCCAATAGAAAGAGAAGTTTGAATTGACCTCTGAATCCTTTACAATATTTGCAATATTTTTAGTGGTCATTTTTGTCAAACTATTCAGCAACTGAAATTTCTACCACGCGACTTTAAGGCTCGTGAAAATTGAAAAAGCATTCAACCCAATTTTGGCAGATTCCTCAGTTTTTACTCTAGCAAATAGGAAAGGAAGGTGTGTAAGATGTACAAGTTTCTGACAGCTAAAAAAGTGAAGTTTCTTGAATGGGATAGTAAGCTCTTGGTAAACACAAATTATTACACTTACACCCAAGTCAAAAAGAAAAAATAATTATATTGAGATATTTATTTGCGCGGTAAATTTTTTGATAAAGTTTGTTTTTTAACTACGAATCAAATATATATATATATATATATATTTTTTTTTCCTTTTTGGTCTTTTCTCTACTTTCACATTTATATTTTGAAATTTTTAACAAAATTTACATGGCTTAAAATATAGAATTATACACACATTAAGCTAAAAATAAAAAATGAATTCGAGAATAATATGTCTGCTAAATTGTTAGATTAGTTGACTAATATGATGTGATCAAATTAAATTCTCCGGATTCATTGATAAGTGTAAAGGAAATATAGTGTATGAGATAAATTTCTTTTTAAGTACTAATATTATTTTTCTTTATTTATTATTAAGATAAATTACATTAATTTACTCTTTTGTTTGTCAAATTACACTTCACTTAAGATTTTATGTAAACAACACATACCTCACACGCAAAATATTAATGTCAACAATTTTGTAACTTTCAAGTTTTAATTATATTATTGAAAAATACGTTTATTACAATAAAATAGAATATATAGAGATAGAAATATAAAAACAAATTCGACAAGTCTAATAGAGGAGGTTAGTGTAATTTGACAAATAAAAGAGGAAGTTAATGTATATTGACGAAATTTCTGAAAAAGTCATTATAATTTATCATTAACATATTAAAAAAACTTTAAAAAGTTAAAGATGGTTTGAGATATATATTTTTATTTTTATGGGAGGTGATATGAACAGTTATTATTATTAGTATATTTTTATTTAAAAAAATGCATTTCACTTGTAGTTTAAAATAATAGTATTATTCTTAATTGAAGAAAAAAAAAGTGCTATTATAAAAAATAAATGGAGTATTTTTTTTTTTTTAAAAAAATAATTACTCCCTCTATCTTAATATAATTGTCTGCTATAAAAATTATGATAATTTTTAAAACAGACAACTATATTGAGACCACAAAGAGAGTATCATTTTTCGTAATTTACTTGCACTGACTTTACGAAGAAAGAGAATGTTAGAACTTAAAACATGCCAAAAAAATTAGAGCATCACTAATTGTTTGGACGGGAATAATTCGTAATTTTAAAGTGTGGAGCATCGGTTTTATCATCTTTAATAGAAGGTGCAAGCCACGCGCTTAACATCTACCAAAATCTTTTCAAATAATTGGTAATGACGTGGGTACGGGCAGCAGAGCACTGGACACGCAAACCTATTCGGGCAACGGGCAATACCAAACGCCGTCTTTCTCCACCACTAACGCCGTTGCCCTCACACACTCTCTCATCTCACCGCAAACAGACGATCAGCATTTATTAAACCCTCGAAATGCCATCCCAAGCCTCAGCTTCGGAATGAGGCTCGGACCATAAAAGCGACTCGAAAAAGCCAAGCCCTCCAGAGAAATAATGGAGTGAAAATGAGGAGAGAGACAGACAGACAGACAGTTTTAGTGAGAGAAAGTGTAGAGAGAGAAAGTGAGGAAAGGAGGCTCGGAGCCGAAAAGATGGGTCAGATCGTGAAGAGGAAGAAGAAGGGAAGGCCGTCAAAGGCAGATCTTGCACGCCGCGCCGCCGTGACGGCGGCGCAGGAGCGGGACCTGCGGCGGAGCGTCCGTCGCCGGAATGTTAGGTACAACTTCGACATCGACGATTATATCGACGACGAATACGACGAAGAGGACGACGAGGACGAGATGAGGAGAGAGAAGAAGTTGAAGCTTGTACTGAAGCTTCAAAATCAAGAAGGCGATTCTGAGTCGGCGCCGAGTCAGACTCGGCGCGTGGCACACGCGCCTGATGCTTCTGCATCTTCATCGGACTCCGGCAACGGCGATAAGCCACTGAAGAAAAGGAAAATTGACGGCGACGATGAAATTGAAGGCGATGTCGATGAAGATGATGACGAAAATGAAATTGATGACGACGATGTTGAGGTATGATTGTTTGGATCTGAACACAGTGTATTGTAGAAGAGGAAGATGAGTAAAAGCGTGGATACATATAGGTTGAGGTCGTGACGACCTATGCCTTAACACATAGAAGAGAGAGAGTGTTTGTCCAGCTCAGCTGAACTCTCAGTGAGATTTTTCTAATTGGTCCAGACTTCTATATTGCTCTCTCTCTATATGTATATCTGTGTCGGGAGATTGATTTTAACGGTCGGGTCAACTGTCAAAACTAACTCCCCCACGGAATCTGATCACGCTCCCACCTTTCTCTCTCTAGCCCTCTTTCTCTCTCTAACGCACACGTACACACACGCACAAGGATCCCCCACACATACACCTCTCTCTCTCTCTCTCTCTCTGTCTGTCTACCTTATCTTTCTCTGTCTTTATCTTTCGCTTATACACGCAGTCATTGTTTGGTATTGTATTTATTTATTTATTTGGGATTGTGGGTTTTAAGATTTAGGTTTTGTCGATTTTGACAGGTTAGAGAGCGAAAAGCGGAATCGAAAGGGACCGACTCTGTTCCAGGTTTGTTCTGATTCATGGGTTTGTGGTTTTGGTTAATGAATGATTTATCTATGTACAATGTAATTTGATTTTGGGCTTTTGTTATATCAGGGACACCATTAGATCCTCCGTTAGCAATCCCATTACCTGATAAGAAGTCTCTGGAGTTGATTCTTGACAAACTTCAAAAGTAGGGGATACATGTTCTCTCTATGCCTCCTTTCTATTCAATAATGTGCTGCCTACTGTAAAGTTAAGTTAGATTTTGAGTTTAATTTGGTTTAATGTGGCAGGAAAGATATATATGGAGTGTATGCCGAACCGGTTGATCCCGAAGAGGTACGCTGATTCTCTCACAAAGTTTATAATCAGAATGTTGATCGGCTGGAGTTTTTAAATTTTGTTGGTTTTGTTGTAGCTTCCTGATTACCACGATGTGATTGATAATCCAATGGACTTTGCCACAGTGAGGAAGAAATTGGGAAATGGATCATATTCTACCTTTGAACAATTTGAGGTGGGCAGTCGCACCTTACTTCATTAATGCATTGTCTTGTTGTACTGGACATATGTCTATGCTCTTTAGTGTAGCCCATTGTTATAGGTGCTTGTTGTTCAATGCACTAATAATATCTTTGATGTTGCGAACAGTGTTAATTTGTCTTCGGAAAATTTTCTACCTTTTAGTGCTTTTGGAATCTTAAAGTTATGACATAAAGGAATTCCTTTTATCACTGAGTATTTAATTTTCTTAATTGTGAAATGTGGACCCGGGGCACAGTAGATATGCTTCTGAAAATATTAATAACAAACTATTTATTGTGGTTTATACTTTTCAAGCAGTATAACTTATTGTCATTTTATTTGATAGACTATATTTGCCCCTTCTTGTGGTCTTGCATTTTCCAGTTTCCTTTAGAAATACCAGTACAAATTGATCTCTGTAATTCTGACTCTATTATTGATGTGTGAACTGGACATACATCCATTGAAGATTACCGGAAGAAAGGAGACCTGATACCCTCCATTGTTGTACAAGTCTAGCTTATTTATTCTAGATGCCTGGACACATTGGTTGTCAAATACAGTTCCATGTTGATTTTGTAATCCCGTCGACGTTAATCTTTTTAAGCTTTATTCAGAATCTAGCAATGTGCAGCTTGATACTCGTGAAGACCCTAAGGGACAATAAGGATTCAAACAATTAATCTGGGAGCAATTAGAGGAACGACAAGTGAATTTCCAATCAGTCAACCACTGTAGACTAATGTCAAGGGTATTAATCTTTGAAGTAATTTGATTTAAGTTGAGGTTGCTACGAGGACACAAGGAAGACCAGAAAAAAGTGTGGGTAGAGGTTGAGAGAAGAAACATAATGACATGTTTTAACTGAAAAGTGTAGTTGGTCATTCAGAGTTGGAATCTTGGGTTATGCTGATTGAGTTGAATTAAATTATACCTGAATCCATGTTGATTCGAGTTGAGTTGACGTCAAATCTCTTCTATTTGGATTAAGGATGATAGTGCTGCTGGTCGTTGCTGTCACCTTTTATCCTATTTGAAACCTAATATAATTTATGCAGCAAGGTCACAGTGACACATTCCGATTTGTGGACTAGGACATTATGTCTTACTTTTGCACAGCAAGACATTGGAACTTCCCAAAATCAAATTGATGAATCTCGATCAAAGAATTATCTACTATGGGAATTACTTTGATGCAGTGACGGAGCCAGAAAATTGTTTTGAGTTGGGGCACAGATTGAACAATAATAAGGGGAAAAAAAAAAAAAAAATCAAACTACCATAATAAATAAAATATTTTTAATACTAGTGGATATTTTTATTGAGTACCTTGCATATTGATTGCAAAATCTAACTGCAACTTGATTAGATTTAAATGCAACTTGATTGTTAAATTTTGAACAATAATAAACAAGGCAATAAATTTCATCACTATCAAATTTCTCTCATGTATATATATATATATAGGGAGTGAGAAATGAGAGAGAGTTAGAGAGAAAGTCGATTATTAGAGCAAAGCTTCAGCGGGGGAATATATATATATATATATATATATATAGTAGGATTTTGTCATAATTTAGTGTGGGTATTTTTAGAATTTTAATAAAATTTATAGGTATGTAATATAAATGAATAAATTCAGTAGCGGCTGACGTCCCCACTCGACACTATGTAGATCTTTGCCTGCTTCGATATGATGAGTTAGTCATTAAATTATTTTTTAGATTCCTGCCTACAAAATCACATTAAATTTAGAAGGATTATCTCTACCAGGAAGGCCAAACATTGATTCAGAATTCGTGGCTCTTTCTGCTACTGAATATCTGGATAGGCTAACTTGGTAAAAAAACATTTTAGCTAGGATGGATGCCATCACCTGCGGGGTTTTTTTTACTATGGACACCTCACCCTGATCTTTTTTTTTTTTTTTTTCGTCTCTCTAATTCCTTTCATTGTTGCATTAATTTCTATTGTATTTACTTTCCTCCTCTTTTTTTTTTTTTTCCTTCCTATTTAATATCTCGTCTGTTTATTTTTATCCCTCATTCTCCATTCTTTTGTTCAATTCCTTAAGTTCTATAACTATTATAGATGATGCATGCAATGCTGAAAAATATGTGTTAGTGAAATAAAAGGACATTTGCGATTATCCTATCAAGAAAAGGAGCTGCTGTAAGAAGCTGTGACCTGATTCTTCTTGTTGTGTAGTTGTTAGACATTTTTCTGTTGTTCTTTGGGATTTTGTTGTCTTGATTTGGTGGTTTTCTCTTGGAAGTGGTTCTTTCAAACCTGCCTGTCTTGTTGGGGTTTTTCTATTCCCCTGTTTGTGTTTGTTCTGGTTTAATAAATGCTACTTAGGAAAAAAAGAAAAGAAAAGGGTCTTTACCCAGTGTGATCCCTGTTAGTTGATGGAGTTAGGAGGGATGGACTGGATACTGACCTAACCATGAACAATATTTGCACAGTGACTACTCTCAGGATTCAAACTCTCGATAGTCCAAGTATTTCCCATCTTACTTTTGTAAAATATAATTCTAAAATTGAACAATGATACGGAAATCAATTGCAGCATTTGATATTTCTCTGCAGTGTCGGAGTGATTGAATCATCAGCTATATATTCATTTTCGCTTTCCTTGATGAGAAAAATATGGAATAGTATGAGAATTTTAGGAATAATCTAGAAGACATTGTAATATTGACATGGTTGCACTTATCAAAAAAATAATAATTGACATGGTTGCAAATGGTTGTGAGCTTTGTATAGAGCGTACTTCATCTGTCCCACAGCAACTGGTCTCCTTTTACCTTTTAGTTTTTCCATAATGTTAGTCCACATCTGAAATTTAAGGTTCATTAACTTGTCTTTGATACCCCTTGATTTTGTTATTATTTTCTCTCCCAAATTTCTACATCAAGTGATTGGAGCGAATGTTGGACATTACCTTACATATGATGTGAAATGTGAATGCATCAATTAGATTTTCTTCTTGCGAATGGGGATGCTAGCATGTATTTGTGTTATAATTGGTTTCTCCTGTCAAAAGGGTTGCAAGGTACCCCTTTTTTTTCCTCATCTTTGAAGTTAGTTTATGTATCAGGCACCTTAGTGATTGTCATTGTTCAAGTGAACACAAGTGCATGCTAGTCTTATTTTTCTTTTGTCCTTTTCTTGAGTATTGTAACTTATTTGAGCTCAAATTTATACCCAAATAATTTATATTGAAGGAGAGAATTATCTCCAGTTACGTGTCTTGGTTTGTAAAGTTGGTTTTCTTGAATGCAGACTGATGTTTTTCTAATTTGCACAAATGCGATGCAATACAATGCACCAGATACCATATACCATAAACAGGTATGATATTTTGACTTTTTTTTTTAGAACTTCCCATTTTGGCTTATTTTCTTCGGTTTGTTAACACAGCTATTTTGCAACAGGCACGCTCAATTCAAGAGTTGGCAAGTAAGAAATTTGAAAGGTTAAGGGTTGAATTTGAACGTTCTGATAAAGAACTCAAAACAGAACAGAAAACAAGATCCAATATCTTGCCTAAAAAGCAAGCAAAGAAGCCATTGAACCGGACTGTGCAGGAACCTGTTGGCTCTGATTTCTCCTCAGGTGCCACTCTTGCAACAGTTGGCGATTTCCAGAATGGTTCAAATGCAACCCAAGCTGCTGGTTGTGAGAGGCCTTGCAACGCTGATGGGCTTGTAGAAGCAAATGCTTCCCTGATTGATAACAATTTAGACAAGGCAGAAGATATACTATCAGGTATGATGTTGAAGTGATTATTCGCTACCATTGAGAGCATATGAAAGGAGCATATTTGGGATTTTAGTGATGGTTGTAATTATTCTGCTTATTTTTACTGTTGCAGGAAAGAATCTTCTATCTAAATTTGGGAGGAAAGCTTTCGTGCATGATGAGAACCGCCGTGCAACTTATAACATATCCACTCAGCCAGCTGTAGGATCAGAGTCCATATTTACAACCTTTGATGGTGAAATCAAACAACTGGTTGCTGTATGTGACTCAGAAACTAAATCTCTCCTGTCGGATATTTGGGCTTCGTACTCATCTAGTTTCCATTTTTTCTGATTCAGGTTGGGCTTCATGCAGATCATTCCTATGCTAGGAGCTTGGCTCGTTTTGCTGCAACACTTGGACCTGTTGCTTGGAAAGTTGCCTCCCAGAGGATTGAGCAGGCACTGCCTCTGGGGTTCAAATTTGGTCGTGGATGGGTTGGAGAATATGAGCCACTTCCAACACCTGTATTAATGCTCGAAAACTGCTCCAAGAAAAAACCTGCTTTTCTTCCAAAGTTGCAGTGTACTTCTGGTGCAAGGAAGGAGGATAAGACCTCAGAGACCCCAGTTTTTGTGAAACAACACCCTGTTACTATCAATGGACCTACTTTAGAAGAGCAATCATCTTTATTTGGTCCTGCTAGAACCAAACCCACTGTCACTCTAAGTTCAGCTACAGATCAGCCTGTTAGGGCTACTTTAGAAGGGACACCTTACTTCTTTAAACCTACTGCCATAGACAGTACCAGAGATCAGCAGCAAAACCTACAGTCCAGGAATTCTGATCAGGAAAAAAATGCTTTTAAACAGGTTGAATTGAATTGCCCTCCCTCAGCCAATCAAAACACAGTTGATTTTGTTGCAGAACAGCAGATTTCGAATTGTTCACCAATGCCAGCTTCCAGGTCAATGGAATCGGTTTCAAGGAGCAGGAATCTTTTGCAGTCTGTTCCATTTAAGCAGCCAGATATGAATGGAGTTGTTGCTGGAGGATTGTCAAATGGAAGAGTCACAAGTAATAATTCGGATACAAATAGAATGGTTGGTTCATCTTCTGATAGTGTTCCCAACCAAATGGTCAGAGCAGCGGCTTACTTTCCCCGTGGACAAGAACAGGGTCTCAGTGACCCAGTTCAGTTGATGAGATTGTTAGCTGAAAATGCTCAAAAGCAGCAGAAATCTTCAAATCATTCCATGGTTGAAACACCACCAGTTATGCCATCGGTTCCATCTCCAAGAAGAGATGATTCTGGCAATGCTGCTGCAGCTGCTGCCCGGGCATGGATGTCTTTAGGGGCTGGAGGGTTTAGACCAGCTGTAGAAAATACAAGCACCCACAAAAATCAGATATCTGCTGATTCATTGTACAACCGAACGCGAGAACTCCAGCCGCAGGTTTCACGATTTCGGGGGGAAGCTCCTGTTTCTGGGATGCATTTTCAGCCTGAGAAGAATAACTTTCCACTCCAGGCCTTTGCAACACCCCCTGTCCGGATGGGCAATGAAGCTCAGTTCCAAAACCGGCCAATGGTATTCCCTCCGTTGGTTACAGCTGACTTGTCTAGGTTCCAGGTGCAGTCCCCTTGGAGAGGTCTTAATCCGCAAACACAGATTAGTCAAAAGCAGGAATCACTACCTCCAGACTTGAATATCGGTTTCCAGCCGTCAGGGTCGCCGGTGAGACAGTCTTCAGGTGTTCTGGTTGACTCTCAGCAGCCAGACCTGGCTCTGCAACTATGAGCCTTTATGTTCATTTGTCTCTTTGAGAAATAGGACAAAAGGGGAGACAGTAGAGCCATTGTAATACTAATTCTTGGCCCATGTCTAAGGGATGTTGGTTTTCTTCTCTACACCAGATATTTGCATTACATAGACACGCTGTTCGGATAAGCCGGATAAGCCGGAAGGTGTTGGAGTTGTTTAATACAATGATGGAGAAGAATTTCGACGAAGTGTTGGATTCATATATTCGAGGCCTTATGTCTGCTTCAAGTCCTTTGCTTGGGTAAAGAAAATTTATAGATTAGTTGAAAGCAGCATGTATTAGATGGATTCCCAGTTTACTTGGGGAAAGATGTTTGTAGCAGAGCTATTTCATTGTGTCTTCTTCTTCAAATACGAGGTTATTGACTCGCAACGGCACATCTCTATTTACCATATCAGAAGGCTAAAATTTATGAGTTGAGCGGTAGTTTAGTGTTTACATGTTCTTAATTCAGTGACACATGAAACCCATTTGATTCCTTGTACATTTATTACAGGTGGATATTAATTACCCAGATTTCAGTTGTCTTCAACACATCTTATGGATTGCCTGGATGATTCATTTCCTTTCCTTGCATGTTTGTGATCATGTACACGTGATAGTAGAAGGTTTAGAATAGAAGAATATCAGTTTCTTTGCATCTCTCTCTCCTCCGTTCTGTTTAAATTTTATTTCTTTCTGTGAGTGGATATGATTAGCCAAAAAGTTGGCTGTAGAAATGAAGTTCCTCTCTTGCATTTATTAATCCAGAAGTAACGGTGAAAAAGACATTATGATCATTGGATGTGGTTGGTCGATTCTCACGCTATAGAAATGATGTTTACCACTGGAAAAAATGGGCATTTGTTGGACTGTGCTTTATGTGCTTTAGATATTGTGTTCTGGTAAAGGTATCCCTAAAAGCATGGTTAATGAGTTCTAAGAAATGCAATCCGAAGGATATTATTGTCCGACTAATTGAATTTTGTTGCAGTAGACGTTCATGGAAAAGGCAAAGGTTGCTTGAACTCTGGACTGGTGAGAAGATGTAAAATCAACATATTGCGGTTTGCTGTGTAAGATGTCCATCAACAGCTTACTGGGGTGTCAGGCTGTGGTGTGTAATCTACATGGAATCATCGGTCAGTTGGTTTGTTTCTGTAGTCTACATGAATTGAAATCATCAATGATTAGTCACTACCATTACATTGTAGATTTTAACTGTTAGCTTCAAATGTGGTTCTCAGATCAGGTTCAACAGTTTGGATTGATACCTTTTCGCTTACATTGTTATTTGAGTAAAATTTAAAACCCTAGAATTTGGATTGACAGCTTTTCGCTTACATTGTTATTTGAGTAAAATTTAAAACCCTAGTTAGGTTAGGGGATCGTTAGATCGTGAATGCTGCTAAAAAACATAATAAGCTGGCACGGTGAGTTTTGCTCGTCAAGCTACACCCTCCTTACATAACCCATAATCTATGAAAAAATAGAAATGAAATTGTGTCATGATAATAAGACAATTTATGAAGCTGTAGCTTTATTAATTTATAATCCTGTTTGCTGGTCTTGTAACATTATTGTTAGTCCTATGTGATTGCAAATGCTTCTTTTGGGCCGACTCTCAATTGCTATCTGCTGCTATAGCTTTTTGGTATTCTTCCTTGTATTTGTAGCTTACTATACACCTCTCTAGCAGAAAAATTGCTCTCCATGTTGCCTTTAATCAGGGACTACCCACCCCTAGTCGTTGCACACATCTATTTATAATCCTACAAAATTTCTTATTTGCAAAACGAAAATGTTATTGAATTTTCTATTTATTGTTAGCATTGCAATTGCTCGAGTGGCACGATTTACAATCGGTACAGGAACCTAAAATCAACCATTCAACGGTCATAATGTTGATTATAAAACCATTTTGCTAGCTGAAGAGTCTATAATTTGTTGAAGTTTCTCTCTCCTGTATTGCACAGAACCTGATATGGTTGGATCACTTCATAAACAACCTTATTAACATTAAAGGAAATTAATACTGAAAGCTCTAAATTTTATAAGTAGTAGTTGCAGTCATGCCCTAGTAACTCTTGATTTATAAGTGCAGTTCCATCTTCATTCTATACTCTTCACTTTTAATATCTTTGTTCTTTGGTAAAAACAGACTTTCTATAGATATTTTCTTCAACATAGTAATCGCGCGTTTCATTGATGAGTTTTTTCATTGCAAAGACTCTATTTTCAATAGAGAGAGAAACATGCCAAGAAAGCAGGGAGGAACAGAGGAATGAAATGAAAGTTTCAGAAGCAATTCTGTCATTGAGCTGTGTGCACATATATATATGTGTGTGCGTGTGTGTGTGTGACACAATCACAAAACAAGCAGAGTATATATGTGAAATGGGAATTTAGACCGTCATCAATTTCATATAAATGGGTGGCAGACACTTCTTCAATTGAGAGAGTGGCTTATTTCATTCAGTTCATTCTGAGGATGTTTAGACAGAGGCTGGTAATAAGTTTGGCTTCTAAGCCGTTATTGACAATTTACATGTAACATCTCAAGCTTTTCGCATGGTTAGACGAGAAAATGGAATTCGAAGGCTTTGCTTTCTCTTGTTCTTCAATTTGTTGTTGCCACCGTATTTGTTCCTGTTGCGCAGGACACACACATTGCCATCACAGACCAGCTGGCTGGATTCCGAGGATTCAGAAAAGCAGCCGAAGAAATTGAAGAACAAGGCCATAGTTCTCTCTCTATAAATCTGTCTATCTATCTATGTGTATATATGTGTGTGTATATTTGGTGGTTTGGGTTTCTTTTCTGTATCTGATGTGATGATATATATAAGAACAGATCAACTACCAGATTGCTCTGCATTGAATTGTCCCAATTTTCCATGTAAAAGTCGTTAATAATATTCAAGTCAATGTAAGTGGGCTGTGACAATTATACAAATAAGTGGGTAGTATTTATTTCCTTATGTTGCGTGGAGAGGACACGCAGTTTATGCTACCAATTATTTCTATATCACGTGTGGACTGAATCTTTTCTTGCATTGTTGTTTTCTGATTTCTCATTAAGTTTCGAGTTTATACCCTTATTATAGTCCTGTGCAAAGGTAGCTATTTGTGTTGGTTTCATATATATATATATATATATATATTTTTAACAATGGTGATGTTGAGTCTCTTGAGGTAACTCCATTGTCCACCATCAAAATTTTGCAGTCAATTACCATAAATTTCTAGGTTTAGCTCCATCCTCCTTTCAGTTTCACCCTTCTGTTAGAATATCTGTAGTCATGTGAAAAACCATTTGAATTAACCAAGTTGAATAGTTTATTTTCCCAACTAATCAGATAGAATATACCAATCAACTAAAATAAAGGCTGTCCACAGTAAGTCTTTAAGGCTACATAACTGCATAATCATTAGTGAGGAAGAATTTGATAGGATTTAGAGAATTTGATCTGAATATACAATTCAACTAAACTAAAGGCGGTGCATAGTGAGTCTTCAACGCTGCAGAACTATCAGTGAAAAATTGTATTTACAGTAACAAGAATTTGAGAGGATTTATAGAAATTGATTTTAAAATGTAGCAAAATTTTGATACATCTAAGTATTTAGTTTAGTATATCTCTAGTAAATGTTACTCAGGCGTCATTACAACATACCAAAATTATATTCTTAATTATATAGTTCCAGTAGTTTGTTTGATTTGTTGCATTGCAACTGTAGATAAATTCAAACAATCAAATGCACGATTGGAAAGAAAGAATACTTCTATTACTATTTGTACAAGGCTTATGTTGTTTACAAATGAAACTCTCATCTAAATAGATATGCTACCTATTCTTCAAAATTTTCTGCATAAATATTTAGATATTTACAGGACATCAAAATTCTCTACTATCGTAGAATATTCTTTACTCTCGGTAATGATAATTGCGTTCCAGAATTAGCTTTTAGTGCTCTATCTATTTACAATAATAATAATATGACAAAAGTACCCCTCAAGTACTCCGTTCATATCTGTCTGATTTCATATTAAAAATAAATAAAAAAACCGATGATTAAAGGGAAGACATGAGAGCTAAAGAGGAACAAGAATCATTTGAACATCGTGAAAGGTGGGCTTGAGTTATTTGACAAGGTTATTGATTAAATAGATGATTCGTTTGTTGAAGAAGAAGAATCATTCAAACAAAGAAAGAAAAGAGAAGAAATGAAAGGAGAGAAGAAGAAAAAAAATACCGAAGTTTTACATTGAATGGGAAGTTCAAGGTTAAATTTGTCTCTTTGTTATAAAAGAATAAAAGTGGAGCGCCTTTGGTTCTTTTTTGGATTTTTTTACTTTACTTTGAAAGACTTTAGAACTCCACTCTTCTCATGCCATGTAAATGTTATACACCCTTTCTATTTTCTTTGGCTTCGTAATTCTTTACACAACTTCGAAAGACTCTAAAACGACACATTGCTCTTTCTATACACCATGCACCTCCTCAACGTTCATCTTTATAAAATTCAAGAAAAAAAAAAAAAAAAAAAGAGGAATGTTTGTGTCTGTATAGCATAGTCTCCTACAAGTTGCAATTTAATTATAATGGTCTGTTTGTTAATGAAAGTTTAATGAAGGGAATGTATAATTTTTTTTTTTTTTTTTTTTCAAGTAAACTTCCATTAGCGTATCCAAAATCACCTGAAATGTTATTTTCGTTTTGGCGATTTGAAAACTGGCTGTTTTTGTTTGACAAACAAACTGGCAGTTAATGTTGAGTAAATTATCTTAATACGAAGTCTTGGTCAAATTTGTGACCACGTCCCAATTGAAACTAATCGGTCAAAGAGGAACGAGCTTAGATTTATGAATTACGACTAAAATAACGTGGTTAAGCGAAATTATAAAGTTTTGGGCTCATGCTGAAAAAACCAACGTGTCATCTTCAACTCTCACCTGGCTAATTAATTCATTATTGTAGTTTGGACGTAGGTCCCTGTATATTCTGAGTGCTAAAAAAATTTACTTGCAATAAATGTCTAGACGTAATTGTAATGAGCTCACCACCGGTCAAGAAAAGACCAAAGATATTTTAACATATTTTATGGAAAAAAGAAAAGAAAAATACACACACACATATATATATACATATATTTTGTTATTTTATGTAATTAGATTTGGAAGATGAGAATTTATTAGGTAGTCACTGGACTATTGATCCCGGGTCAATGGTGTACTGACACATAAACAAGTGTGTCGATTTTATATAAACATTAATTTTTTTTTTTATGTGTCATCATGCAATTGGTCGAAACCAATCCCGGGACTACCTAATAATTTATCATCAAATAATGGTGAAGAGGCCCATAATTAATTAAAAATTATTACATAGTCTTGGTTCATTGATAATTGATAGATCAATTAAATCCAAAATTTTCTATTGAAAAAATGACCATTTTTGTGCATTAATATATATTATAAAGAAGAGTAATGATACTCACAATTAATACTTGAATTGTCAAACAAAGTTACTTCTGATTGGTTTAAGTAGAGTGTCCCATTCATTTATTTATTGAATGGATGCCCAATTAGAAACAGTAAGTGTAGTAGCAATTCACTGAAATAAATCAACGTAAAAATATTTTCCTTTAAAGAAAATTCAATATAAAGTTTTATTAAATTAGTCCACCACATATATCAAATGTTCCAATACCACCTAATAATTTCTTCGTAACTAAAACACTGTCTCCCACTCACTTGCATATTGGCATGGTAAAATCTTTCTTTTTAAGGGATAACGAGGGGATCACAAGCATTTGATGTGCACGGCAAAAAGTAACATTCAAATCACTAACATCCACTCCTTTAGGACAGTGACAGTATCTTCCTAAGTTGTCGTGCTTCGTTTGTCAGGAAAAAAAAAAAAAAGAAAAAAAAAAAAAAATCATTCCAATGCCAAGCATTTTTGTGATAATATCAAAAGTTGTCCCACAGCCTCGTGTCACTATATATATATATATATATATGTATATATAGTTTTACATTGGCTGCTAAATTGACATGTTTAATGACCGCTAATTTAACTAAGGGCTTATTTGGCATAACTTTTGCTTCTGCTTTTTTGGAGGAGAAAAAGAGAAGCAAAAACTATCACTTCTATTTAACTTATTTTTGAGTGTTTAGAAATTATATTTTAGAAGTAAAAAAGTTTTTCAATCTGTTTGGCAAAACATTTAAGGAAGCTAAATAATTATTTTGTCCTTAGAGTATTTTTTAAAATCATCGTTTAACTTATTTTTTCATAACTCTTTACAAATAAACTACTCAATATAATCAAATTTATCCACAACATGCCATATAATTAATAATACTAATAATAACAATTAAGAGATGATTTAGAAAATTTTGTAATTGACCATTTTGATTCCACCAAAATATAGTAATAAGAAAAATAAAATATTAAAGGTTTCTATTTTTTCTTCTAAAATGAAAATAATTAATCTCATACTTTTTGACTTTCCCATAATAATATTGTTGTTTCCTTATAATAACAGACTTAATTATATTATAAGGAAACTTAATTATATTATAAGGAAATTAATGAAAAAAAGAAAAGAAATATTGCTACTGTTTAATGTTCCAATGGATTGATTGCAATACAGGGAACTTAATTATATTATAAGGAAATTAATAAATAAAAAAAAAAAAAGAAATATTGCTACTGTCAACGTTTAATGTTCCATTGGGATTGATTGCAATAAAGGGAAGATCTATGCCGGTGAATTAATCTAATAAAAAAAATTGCTATGCCGGTGAATTAATCTAAAAAAAAAAAATGCTATGCCGATGAATTGAATTAATCTGATTAAAAAATTAAAGATTTGTGACGGTTGGATGGAGCGTTGAAATATGGTGATTATTCTTATAAAAGTTAGTTATTGTTCATCGGGGAGTTTCGAAAATATTTAGAAAAAAAATAAAAATAAAAAAAACATGAAGAAATAGGTAGAGAAGAAAAACCAAAGAAATACCAAATTATAGATTAGAAGATTGAAGGACAATAGCCACCGGTTCTCTCTAGCTTAGAATTCTGCAATTTAATGAGTTATTCAAACTTGAACAATAAAGAAAGAATTACCTCCAACGATAATCTTCTTAAATTTTTTTCTCTAGTTGAATGCTTGATGGATTGTTCTTGTGAGTATGAAAGGACAGATGTGAGTATTAAGGGGTTTTTTATCCCCAAAACTCTTTCTATGTATTTTAGAAGAGCGTTTTGGAGAAACAAGGACCAGCTTCTCCAAAGCCCCAAAAGCTCTTTTTAAAAACTAGCCAAACACCATCCAAAACAGCTTCTAAGTCTAAAAAGTCAAAAGTAACGTTTGAAAAACCAATCCAAACAGGCCCTAGATACCGAGTTTATAAAATATAGATGACCCCATCAGCTTCAGCTTCAGCTTCACTTCTTCGTTTATAACTAAAATGTTGATTCTGACCTTTCATCAAAACATAAAATTAAAAAAAAAAAAGTCGCACTTGTATGACATTATAACTCCATAGCATATATATCTAATTTTGGGTGTACAATGCCCGAAGATGAAACCAGACATTCAAATCATTATACACTCTGAAGTGAAACTTAGACATGCAACAGTGGGGAAGAGAGATTTTGTTCTCCAATAGAGGCAAATATTGATGCATGAATTATATAGAGAGAGAGAGTGATCACCACCGATGACAATAAAACTAAAATGGCATATTTAAGTTAATAATTTAATCCATTCAAACCAAGCTAAGGAGAAGACGCATAAATATTTATTTACTGCTTCAAATCGAGAGCCTTCATGATCCAGATAAAGAAGAGACGACGTGGACTGAAAAGGATGACACCACCCAGATCACTTGCTAAGAATTTACATCTTTCCTTCTATTTCCTTGGAGTCTTATCTACATAAATTCAGCTCGACTGCAATCAGAATGATCCAAACGTGTTCTCCCCACTGTAAGTCATGTAGAGAAAGCCATCCTCATCTTTGTTTTCCTCGTAAATTGCAGACATCATGGCAGCTGTGGTAACATAAATAAAAGTACATTAGCAAATGAATTGTATTTAATGATTACCACTATGATGGTAACATATGTTTCATGGACTCGAATACCTATGTTTCTAAGAGGTTGGAGAGATATCCAATATCCAAATCCGAGTGGGTACTTCACTCATTTTTAAATTTGTAATATCGATGGTAACAAGTAGCATAATGAGAAATTCTTTCTCACCAGTGGGGGGCAAAATGTTCTTCACAAAGATAAATATAGCCTTTTCAGCACTAAGCTTTATCCTCTTCCGGACCACATAGACAAACTGTCCAACAGTCAAATCAGCAGGAACCAGATACCTGCATTAAATACACATAATGAGGCATTAAATATGGAATTAGAAGTTAACGAGGTAAGTATTACAATAAATAATTCTATCAAGTATTATAAGGATTAGGTATCAAAGAGAGTACAACCCCTCCCTCCCCAAATTTTTTTTTTAATAATAATTAAAATAAAATACATAAAAAAATATGGTTTGAGCACAGAGATACTCAAAGCAGTCTTATACTGTGTGCATGACATAGTCCAGCTAATTGCCTAGAATTCCACCATCTACTATTTGAGCATTGAGATACTCAAACAACAAAAGAATTTCATACAGTAAAAACTAAAAAGGATCATTTCTTCCCATTGGAACCAGCCTATGTAACCCAACCCATCCAACCCCTTCTAAATTATTTGTTTTTCTTTCTTAATCTTGAACATGAACAGAATCTGTGCACTACTTCAACCACTTGTTTTAGCAAGTTCTAGCTTCTTCTTAACAAAAGAAGACAATGCTGTACAAATATCTTGCACGAGAGAGATTATAGCACAATCTTTCAACCAAAAGAAGGAAAAAAGGAAAGAAGACACCACAAAGAAGAACACTAACAACTTGTTTCCATGGATCCTACAGTCACAAGCGATTGCTCAGCTACAAAATCATTTTCATGCAAGTGTAAACCAGTGGATGAAAAGGAACAGGGTGGTGGCTGAAGTTACAAGTAGCACAACAATCTAAAGTCTAAAACTACACTAGAAATGCATTGAAAGGAAATAATTCAAGTTAGGAAAAGTAGTACCATGAAATTTCAAGTATGTACTAGCAATCACACTAACATCCACACTGTCTTATAAAGATGAATTACTGCAGGAATATACTAACTTCTTTTTGTCAATATCAGGTATGTCACTTCTTTCAGCCTTCTCCACAATAACCTACATAGCAGAAAATGGAGAGCAATCAAACACATACATTACATGTATAACATCTGACAAGAAAATTGTTTTCCAGAAGAGTGAAATACAATCTTTTATACCGGTATTCTGTCTGGATATTTCTCCCTGATACGAACAGCTTCTGCCTGCCTTCTCTCTGAATTGTGTAAAAAGACATTTAAAGCAAGTATTGAATAACATAGAAAACATAAGTTTGCAGTGAAGGACTTTAATTATCTTTCGGTCTTCAAATCAATGAACTTGACTAAATATGAATAGCATTTTCCTCAAATGTAGGAAAGCATTTGATGCAATTTTCTTTTTGTGGTATCTCCTCTGCATTGCTAGTGGAAGGTTGAGAGTTCAAGTTTCCACAAGCAACAATTGTGGGTGTGAGAATGCGTCTTACTCATTACAAAATATAGATATAAAAAAAAGAATCCTACAACTCTCTCGGAGACAAAGAAAATGTTATGTTATACAGTAATCTTGCAACATTTCTCCATGTCAACATCAATATTAGGAAAGCACTTCTTCTGAAAAGAAAAATTTGTGAAAGCAATGCTTGTATAAAAAAAGGTGACACAAAACAGCCAAGTTTATCCAGTCAAACAAGAATAGATATTAGGGATCCAATTTGATTCTACTTCTCTAGCAAATTAGCCTACATATTTCTTATAGATCCAGTGAGAAACAAAACCAGTTTGGTAAGTTTAGGAAAACGACACTAGGGTTTAAACTTCAAACTCTTTCTAAAATGGCAGCCTCTTGACAAGAACTCTTTTGTGACCCACCACAGTAACAAGAAAGGTCTTCTGCACGTGGAAGTATCAACAATAATTAAACTTTAGAATCAATAAGGATAACTTGCAGAAATGGTTGAACTTTAGAATAAAAAAGTATCAGAGTAAGAAGAAAGTCCTATAAATAATGTTTGAACTTTATCCCTGAGCCATATAAGATCAAATTCAACTATTTTTCACAATAATATTTTTCGACTCACATGCATTGCAAAGTTAAGATTATAATCAAACATTATTATTCCAAATAAGTGACAGACAAGTGAAAACATTAAAAGTACTTCTTATCAAGTAACTAAATCAACACCCTTGAGCCTGCTCCAGGCTACATACACAACTTAACATTTAAGTACAATCAGTTTAAGAAACACACAAAAATAAGAACTTTTCTCAATTCCCCCACTACCCATCCTTGAACTCGGGTTCGACCACTATCAAGTTGCATATGGACTATGCGGGACTTCCCCCACTAAAAACAAGCAAAAATTTATTTGTCAAATATAAGCCTAAGAAAGTCGTTGTATTTCACCATAATATACTTGATACCAGACGCGATCGTACATAAACCCTAATTTGTGTAAAACCCATATTGCAGAATCTCTAATCAATCTCAGAATCCAAAAATAACAAAATCAGATATACGACCGATCAGATTTATAAAGGTACAAGAACAAATTGCATACGATTTACACGTATAGCCCTCAAATAAAGAGAGATAGTGAACAAATCAACTTATAGTACCGAACTACTAAAACTAGGGTTCTATCAAGATTAGATCGCAATCACAAAAAGTATAGATAGAGGGAGAGAGATAACCAAGGGGGTGTTCCAACTTGAATGAACTCTTGGCCATGGCGTTCAATGGATAATAGTAGAACTCTTTGCGAACTGCGATATTCAAACGTGAGTGAGACCGAGAGGGTTCTGTGAGAAAAGCTGTGAATACCAGAAGGCCCAAACTCAATAAATTATAGGGTATGTGTTAGGGAAAATTCCATCCAAGTCCTAATTTTTAACCCTTAAGACAATTAAGTCCTAAATATTTTTAACTTGAAACATTAAGTCCTATTTTCAAATTTATTTCCAAATTAGTTTAAATATATATATGTATATATTTCCAAAAGTACCCTTATAAGTACTGCAGCTCCGATTCCCTCTCTTATGTACTATACAAATACAAAGGGTTATATTATATTATATATATACTACAACTCTCATCTCCATTCCGGCGTTCAAGAAATTTGCGCCTGTGGCGCTTTTCCGACGTTCAAGATTCATTGGTTTTTGAAGGAATTGAGCCAAATTACTTTCGTTCATGTATTTATATTTGTACAACAACATACATCTAATTGAACAGAGTAGGAAGAAATTGCCGGCAAAAATGGTGTATGATGTCGGTGGAAGAAGATGTTGAGAAAATACAGAGGCTAGCATGTTCTTGATTTGGAAGAAGAAGATCGTTTTTCTGTAGAAATTGTTACATCCATGGAAATTCAAAGATGGTGATCGTGGTGGTCGTAGATGTTGTGGTGGAAACTAGGTGGCCGTTGAGGTTACGGTTGTGAGATATGAGATTTAATAGAAATTGAGGTGTTCGTGGAGGGTACGGTGGTAAATGGATGCCATGGTCACCGGAATTCATAAACTCCGGCGAACCAAGTTCAGTACGGTGTTGTTGCAAGACCCACCTCTACGCAACTCGTTCAGTGAGCTCACGATCGGCTTGAAATTCTGGTGACGGCGAACCCACTTCGGTGACCAATTAGCAATCTCACGTTGCTTGCAACTCCGGACCGGTGAGGTCAGAAGAGATGTTTCCATTGAAATCAGCAAGCATCAGTGATTGAAAGTATTGGGAAGTGGGGTGGAGCTGGTCGGCGGTGGGGGCTAGAGGAATGGATACTGAAAGGATTGAGAGAGAAGATGATTGAACAGTACTAATAAAGGGTTCTTATGGTAATATATATATATATATATATATTATATTTGAATTAATTTGAAAACAAATTTGAAAATAGGACTTATGGTCTAAGTTAAAAATATTTAAGACTTAATTGCCTTAAGGATTAAAAAGTAGGACTTGAATGAAATTTTTCCTTTTATCTTTGAATAAATTCATAATTTGCATTAGAATTCCATCATGCCAGGGCAAGGTTTGATTAGGTTAGGTAATACTGTCACGTGCCCAGACGACGACGTGTTTGGATAAGTACAGCCAAGTGTTATCTGGTAGGTAAAGCCCAATCCGACTACAATATTCAGAAAAAGCCATTTTCCAGGCCCATCAGGCCCATATGGAAGTCGACTTTCTTTGAAGAATTTCTTTCTTTTATCAAAGACACATTTGGATACCCCGTAAAGTTTCAAAGGCCATCACCAGTGATCCTCAAAGAGAATGAACCTTTTATCAAAAAAAAAAAAATAATCCAATTTCAAATTCAAAACAAGATTGATGTTCCAAAACATAATATGAACATATTTAATGTTGGCTATTTATATCAAATACAACTAAGTGGAGGGCTCCACTTCCTTATTTGTTGCATAATTGACCAATTAAAAAGGTAAGTTCAGTAATTTCCTACAACTATTCCGTGCAAGAATCATTTTCCTTCTTTTATTGCAAGGAATGCCTTTGCTCTCTTCTCTGGACATTAGTGTCGATATCTATAAAAACACTTCCACTTGCTCAAGGAAAAGAAAAGAAGAAGAAAAATTTGGATTGTAGTTGTGTTAAGTCATACATATAACAAATTTGCAATGCCACATGTAATTTAAATTTGCACTTATGTTATGTATGAGAGCACCGCCTTGTATTTGAAATGCAACTTGGGATGTAATGGTGATATAGGATGGGAGGGGCTTTTAACATTTGAATTGAAGTGTCAAAAATGGTAGAAAGAGACCTGGCTTCATGCCTTATCTATTCTTCCTTTCCGTCTCCTTCTCTCACTTATAGCTAATATAAGTGGGGTCTTACCTCTCTTCCCTTTGTCACTCTCCCTTCCTTAATAACCATATAATGACATATTTATAATGCAACCACCAAGCCATTGGTAGACGATACTGGTTGAGAAACACATCTACAACTTTTGGGCACTTGATTTCTAACTCTTAAAATAATTTTTCAAAAATTTTAAAAGACAATTTTCTTAAAACATAATTTTTTATGACTGAATTTTCAAAAATTCATTTTAAAAAAATTAAATCAAGCAAAATTTGTTTCCAATATTCAAAGTTACAAACCAAACAAACGGGTATATATCATCAAAAGCAGCACATACAAAAATATTGTTCATATGAGTACCAATAACAACTCTATTATCATCTGAACCAATTAGGGGAGAGAGAGAGAGATAGAGTTTTTAGGTCCTTTGTTCTTCAACCTCTTTATTAGGAGGAAGAGGGGGCTCAAATTTGGTAAAAAACCTAAAAGCTGAGAAGCCAGCAATTACAAAGAAGCAGCAAAGAGCAACAGCATGGACAGCCAAAGCCAACTTCAATCTACTGCAAAACCTTCCATAAGAAGTACAGGCTTCACTCCATGTCACCTTTTGATCCCCATTGTAGGCCAAGTATAGAATCTCTCCTACTGCAGCCACTGATGTGACCATTAAGTATGCCACAACCTGCCCAAACCACCCATATAAAATCACACATTAAATTACAGACACACACACATATATATATTTATATGCAATGAAAAAGATATCAACCTACACACAATGAGTGAATCACAACCAAGACCATGTGAGAAATTGGTTGGAATTGGGACAGATCTTTGATGTGGCCCAATCACAAAAAATCACAAGAATGACATGTTATTGTAGAGTTGCATCCATTTAAGTAAAGTTCACCCACCTAGTCTTACTTTTGGTAAAAAAGAATTAATGATTTAACCACCAAAACAAACACATTGATTCAACGAATTCTGGCAAATATTATGATAAAATTGATGAATATAGAGAAAGGAGTTAGGGTAAATACCTGGTCAGTAACAAAGTAAATCCATACTCTAGTTACCAAGAATTTGACAAACGAGGATAGGAGAGAACAAAGAGTATATCCAGCAGAAATGGCACTGATGCAAACCATGTACCTAAAAGAAAAGCACAATCATTATTGGACAACATATATGTATATATATATATATAAGCCTCAGAACATGAAGAAGATGAATATATATATATATATATATAAATTGCTTACTTGATTCCAATGAGATTGCTGAACTCTAGTTTTCCATAGGTGGAGTTGTCCTGCTGATTGGTAACAGATAACCATATGGAGACAGCAGAGAGAAAAATGGAAAAAACCCTAAGAAAACAATCTACAAGTTCATATTTGGGCCTATTCTCAACAGGAGTTCTCATCTTTGAAATCAAAACCAAATCTAACTTTCAATGGAACAAAAGATAGAGAGGTTAATAAATAGGAGAAGAGTATGAGAAGGTTTTTGGGTGGAATGAAAATAACTGGTAAATGTGAGGATGAACAGATGAAATGGTTGTGAAATGGAGAAAATGATGTGAGCGGTGTAAAAGTCAAGTGGAAGTGGGAGGAGTGAGAGAGAAAAACTAATGGGACATGTTTTTTTTTCAGAAAAAAGAATCATGGTAATGGTGGTTGGTTTGGTGTTATCAAAGAAAGGTCACATGATATGATTGACTTGTACACATGGCAACAAGCCTTTCTTTTTCACCTACAAAACCTTGGTGCTCGAGCCACCCACCTTGGCCCAATAGGGCTACTCTTTTTCAATTGGAAGATTTCTTTATAATTAAAATAATTTTTTTTTTTTATTTAAAAAAACTACTCCATTCAGACTTAACGGTGAAAAAGAGTGTTTTTTATTAGACTATCAAGTTTAAGAATTAATTATTTAAATAAAAATTTTAATTAATTAAACACTAAAAAAAGGTGATTAATAAATATTAAATCTATATAAAAAATAATATCTAAAAAAATATTTTTTAAATATTACTGCCGTCCTAAAAATAATGTCACGTTTGGAGAATTGTAACTCATAATTATTTTGTAAGTTATAATTTTTTAAATGTGATATTTTTTTTTTTTGAAACAGAAAAAATAGATAAAATCAAAGGAAAGAGTGCCAACCATGGGATGCATAAGCGTTGGAAGCTTCCATAGCTGGCACAATTTTAGTCACTATTTTCGGTTGATTATCTTATTAATTATTGTAACATAGTTTTTTACTTAAACGATAGTGCGTGGGTGGGATCTATTCTCCATCAGTTCAAGCCAAAATCAACTTTAAAAACAAAAGTCTACATAAAAATATTTAAATAACAATAATTTTTATTAGGATGTCAATTTAACTTCCTCTGCTACCGGCCCTATCAGGATGTGTTTGAGATTATCTTAATAAGGTTAGAGGCATGAAAAAAAACAAAGAAAAAAAAAAAAAAAGAAAAGAAGAAGAAGAAAAGTGTAAAATCTGTGAAGCTCATTCTGATTGATGAGACAAGTTTAAAAAAGAGATGTCCGGTTTCAACCCGCAGGGTTGACATTCTTAATTTTGTTGGTTTTTCTAATTCGTTGATCTGTTGTTTCGTCTTTACACATTTTGATTTCAAAAGATATATATATATATCCACGTGACAATAAGAAAACAGTCATCCGACATCTACACAACACATCCACAGATGTCAATAAAAAGTCATTGCTCAACAACAAAAATCACCAGGAGAAAAGAGCAATAATGAGAGTGACCCAAACGTCAAGCCATCATCAAGACAATAACTCCAAAATTACATTTACATGGACAAAAAAAAAAAAAAAAAAAAAAAAAAAAAAAAAAAAAAAAAAAATTTATCCAAACCCCGTGTAAATGGGAAACAACAAAAATCAACATAGATCTTCTAGTAGGAGAGAAAGCAAAGATTGAACGGATTCTGATTTCAAAAGATGGAGGATATCTTTTTCCCTTATTTTTGGTGATTATAGCTGATTCCTAACCACCCACTACGAATATAAAAAGACAAAATGAAGTAGGAAAGAGATAAGAGTGCAACTCTTTTTCTTCGCTCTTTTTCTTTTTTATTTGATTAGGCGCTACTCATCTTGAAACATAATATTATTTTAATTCTCAATTTTCCACTTCCAAAATTATACTGACTTTGTAACTTTTAAATTGAAAGTAAATACCATGTATCCATTAAAAACCATGTAGTGAAACAAATTCAGGATTGATGTACTCATCCATTCTAAAGTTTGAAATATATTTATATACACTTTGTCCATGAAAAAACTCTAAAATTCGTAAGTTATATTACTAGGAATTCTCTCCTAATTAACAAGGTTATATCATTAGACTACACAGTATCAACACTCCAACAGAATCGGCTCAATGACATAGATTTATATGTTAACTATCAGTGTTATGGTGCAATTCTAAAAGCTTGACTAATAAGTGTAAATTCTTCTAAGTATTAAAGCAATCACTTTATACAATATATATATATATATATATATATATATATATATATAAAATTAGACTAGTCTCTAATTTTCCCGCGTTTGATGGGATATATACCAAACCATAACACCGACATGTAACACAGAAAACCAACCAAAAATGTCCCACTTCACCGGCTAATATCCCATCTTGTTGGAAGACCGTGCTGTCACTATTTCAACAACTTTTTATTTGATTCAAATCAAGGACCAACATCGCTCCAAGAAGCCCAATGAGATGGTTACTCAAAATCAAGAGTTACATTCCTGTCTTAGCTCTAGTAAAATGAGCAAAGGTCGCTGAACATACAACCTAGACTAACATAGCGAAGCTTCAGCCTGAAGGAAAAAGATAATTCAAGGAAAGCAGATAAAACCATAAAAGTGGTAGAAAAAATTCCACTAATTTAGGATGCATAAGGCTGCAACTGCTAGCCCGAGGGTTGTCACTACCTAGCAGACTAAACAATATGGTCCTCCAAGCATCAAAAGAATGGTTAGTTACAGTCTTGCTCCTCTATCTAGTTCCGACATGGGTCTCCCTCTTCAGCTAAAATGGAGTGGAACCCCGTCAAGATACTCTCTCTCTCTCTCTCTCTCTCTCTCTTGCGCGCGCACACACATCAAGCAGTTTGATACTATATACACTGCCATATAGTTATATCCATAATACAGACTCATGCAATCTACTTGCTTTCTCCAGAGGTTGGAAAACATGTTTCTTGTCAGAAACCTCCACTCCACACAGCATTTTCGCCTTCTCCACAACGCCGATGAACCTCATTGATCCTCTCAGCCGAATTGCAAATCCCGCTGCAGGTCCAATCAAAGGAAGCAGCACATATGTTTCCAGCTTGAGCTTTCCACTCGCAATCTGTGGTAATAAATATTGCAAGAAAAATCATTAGTTTCACATTCTTTTTCCACATTTGTACACACCCTATTGCCATCATATTTCTTTCTCCCCTCTCTTTTTCCTTTTAAGCAATTTAAATGGAAGCAAATCAGATGAAATAAAATAGACCATGGTACTATTTCATTTTTCTTTTTCTTTTTCCCAATTCAAACCTTGTTAAAAACATTCAAGTGGCTCAGCTGGTAAATAACGCATCAGTAGGCCTCAGCATATACTGGGTGATCCTAGAAATATTGAGCATGGAACAGCAGTGGATAACATGAGAGGAATACACTTATAATTATATGATCCAAGCAGCGCATCTCATGTCTGAAATGTGATCCAAGGTCTGTGATTAATGCAATTGATAAATTTTTGCCAATGATAAAGCGTCAGATTATGGCGCACAGTCTCCATTATAATTTCAAGGGACATGCTGTGGTCAGTCACCAACTAACTATTGCAAAAACTGAGTACAGTTCATGTGACCCAAATACATGATCCATTATGCCACTGAGAGATCATACCTTGGTAAGATTTAGATTTAGGGTAACAACAATTGTTTCACAAAAATATCCCATAAATATCATAAAAACATAGGGAAGAAAAAGAAATATAGTTGCATAACATTACCAGGAGGGGTTCCACAACATAATCTCCGGTCATCTATATGATCCACATCCAATCCAATAAACCAAGATCCCAAGGAGACATCCTCATTAGCATACTTGTGTAGCACATGCCTATAATGATCGGTCACAAGGTTATTAAATAGGATAGAAAATCAGTAAAGATGTAGAAGGGTCATGTCTTCTTTATAAGACGGACGGAATTATGCTTACTGGTTTATTGATATGTAAGTCGCCAAATCTTTCGAGATAGCATATAGCTGCCCTGTAGCATGACGAAAGTACTTGTTTCTCTCCCCGCCAAATTTCCAATGCTCAGGTTCATGATATCTCACTCCCCTGGTAATAGAAAGGGCATGTTAGAAATGAAAAATGCAATTTACTAAAATTCATGAGACAGAAAGTTTTAGGAAAGCTTGGCTTACTTTTGAGCAAGGACAGGACCAGATTTCATGCATCCAATATAAACCCGAGGTTTTGACCGATGCCTGGCTAAAATTGCTCCTAGAGTTGCTGCAGTTTTGCGGAAGGGTTCAAAATAAGAAAGGATTAAAAAATAAATAAATAAAAATGTGCTATGGTTTTTGAGGGACCATGCGCAAAAACAAGATTTATTAAATGCTAATAGTGAAGGATGTTCTATCAATATCTTAACCTAATTCATGAGTATAATATTATTTTGAGATGAACATCATCCAAAGTTGGTTGTTTCTCAACTACAAAACCATATTGTTAAGCATATAAATTTAACACAATCATCCTTTCGTAAATCAGATCTCGTGGTTTTACATCAATACTGGTCAACAGAAAGATTTTTGGTATCACAATTGGAAAAAAAAAAAGAAAAAAAAAAAGAAAAGAAGAATTCTTCAGGCTTGCTTAGTCCTTTTCCTAATCAAACCAAACAGTTCAGCTAGTTTTAAACATTAAAGTTCACTCCTTCGCTAATATTTTTTTTTCTTTCCTAAAATGAAAAGGAATATACAAAGAAAAATGTCACATGCCAATATACACAAGCCAAACGGAAGTTTAACCAATTTCTGCATCTTTACCTATATTTACATGTACGTCATCATCGACTTTGACATAGAAATCAGCTTCCCACAGAGCAACGGCAGTAGTAAAATATATCTTCGTCTTGGCTGACAGTTCAAGGTACCCCTCGACATGTTCCTATTCTCATCATATTTACATAACAAGTGGGGACCAATCAGTTCCCTTCTTTGTTTAACAAATTGTTAGTATAACTGCCACTAGTGTGTGCATGCCCAGGGTGTGGGTGCGGATCTAGGCATGCTTGTGCATTTGGAACAGAGACCAGCAGGGTGGGGGTATAGGGAATTGTAGTATGTAATAGCATATATTGAAAGAGAAACGAGGCAGAATAGGAGTACCAGCCTTAAGAAGTCTCCATGCTTTTTTTCTTCTGCTTCAATTGCTCTGTCAAGAATACCGCCTGATGCGGAACTGACAACCAACAGTTAACAAGAAAAAGAGAGGAGATTAGTTAGATTACGTCCATCACAAGATGTGCAAACTAGTCATGAATATAGATGTCTACATCAAAAATTTATAAAGCTTCAGCGCTCCTGGTCTAAACGTTGTACATAGTTCTTAATATGTCAAGCAATATTGGGTATATTCTAGGACTACTCTCCAGAAGGCTTTTTACTAGTATTAGTAAAGAGTTGTTTTGTCTTGATGAGGAGGTTCATGGAACTGTTCTTCAAAAGCTTTTGTCAAAAATTGTTACTTTGGCACCCATTGTCTAGTTAGTAAATAAAGGTGGTTTGATGAAACAGGAAATTGCATTATAAACAAGAGTGGCTCGTTTTGGAGGGTTTGAAAGAGTAAGGTTCAATACAACTGCACCCCATCATGTACTTAGCGAGGCAACCATGAAAGATAAAGCCTCATATAGAACAGTGAACCCTACGGTTCTTTGTCAATTTAGGATATTTAGTAACATAAATACAATCCTCCTCTGCCTATAAAGTCTTCAGATTACCAAGACATTATTTGACTCAGAAGTTTTTTGCTATTAATATTGGGTATAGCATTTTGGCCATGATTGAGCCAGTAATATCACCAAATAAATTTTTATTTTTTTATTTTTTACTTTTGTGTTGAAGGGCATAAAATTCAACAAAATCTTTAGAAAAAATAAGGTGTAAGATAATAGAGAATAAGGTAAAGGCTTTTATGGAGCAAAACATTTTCAAGTGCTAACTATTAATCCATCCATCCAAAAGGATGATAAAAGGTAAAAGCTTTGGACAAAATGCTAGTCATAAGCAATTAGTAAGAAGCATTATTTGGAGCAATAGGCCTTCTCATTAACATATAATGTCTAATTTCCTGGAGGAGTAATTGCTCTTTTGCAATAAGACCTCGACAGTACCAAAGAACAACTATTATTGAGAAGCAGTCCATTCTTAAATTGTGGATTGCATCTATGCAGTACTTAGGACAACAATCTTATAGTTAACCAAAACTTTCATGTCTTCTTGTGCAAATAGCGGAAATTAACAGAGATATAGGAAACAAAAAGCAAAAACTTGAAACAAGGAAGAGATAGGTGTACTTAATCAAGACAAGATTTGAATGTCTCTGTCACCCACCTGTGACCTATTACAAATCGAATTATGATGCCCTTTTCTTCCTCAAGCTTTTTTCGTTTATCACCTATTTTACAAAAATAAGGGAAAATTAATAGTGAATGACTTTAATCAACCAGAAGAGAAATTACTAAAACAAATTAAGGGAATTTCATAAACCTTGGGGCATCCAAGTGGAACGGACTGAGTCTCTTCTCTTTCGACTGTTAAACGCGGTGTTAATGCCTATAACCATTTGATATTTTCTTTTCTTGGTCAGTTGTGTACTCCTCAAATCTCCAGAAATGGGGGAATCGCTAAGTATAGAAACCTGCGCAGACTTTGCGGCAGCTAATTCCATCTCCAGATTTGAAATGGTTTTATCCAGTGTTCTGCACTTTCGTATATGGCCATAAATTTTTCATTCATGTATATACATTAGGCAAAAAATTATAAACCTCAGTGAAATCTAGATATAATGAACCCTAGTTGGCTTACTGTATAGAATGGTGTGTCTTTGACACTTCTCCTAAAATGTCCTTGGACTTCCTCTTTACATCCTTCTGATGATAACAAACACTCAAATATGTTAAAACCTTATAAACTTTAGAATTGAAAAACATAAAAGTAAAACAAATAGCTAAAAAGAAGAAAGTCAACAAATTTGATGTTGGTACATGGTCAAATCACCCCCGTTGAGGCGAGAATAAAGTTCTCAGTAACATAGTAAAGATACACACCATCTTTGGACCACAGCCCTCGGAGATTAAATTTAGCCTTTCGTCTTCAACTCCTTCTGTCCTCGAAACGCCTTTTGCTTCTGGCACTGTCCACATTCTATCACCACAGTATCCTCATTAATATGACATGCACACACAGGAAGTTCCATGCAACATGATGAAGCATAAGAAACCAATACTACTGTAATAAGACCTCTGAATAAAATTTAACCCCAAATTCTTTGGTATCAATGTGTAAAAATCTCGCCAATAACTTCCAATATCCAGTAACATCCAGCAACGTATTCCATATGCAGGATTACAACATGCTATGATCCTAAATATTTAAAGGTGCTTAAGTGAGACTTGATCAGCATTACAAGCTTCTAACTAAGTTACTAATAAGTTCTTAAACATTGCATTAATCAAACCCACATAAAAAATTCCAAATTTGATGGACTACCAGTTGAGCTAATTACTTAGAGCAAAGTAAGCCACCAAGGTGGAAGATCCACCCAAAATGTAGACCACAATTGCAACAAGAGACTGGACCATGTTAAAGATCAATTGTGAAGCATATAGGTATTCGAATTCCAACAATCATTATTAAATCGATAATTTTGTCATTGTTGGCGCTGTTGGGAATGTTGATTCCATACCTAAACGTCATGATACCATAGATAGCTTATCATTAAAGCCTGCGTATTCAGTAAGATGAAAGTAGACCATCACCTTCACTTACACCCATAAAAGGAAGTTGGGAGCGACAATGACAGTGTTCTTTAAAATTGATGGTAGCAGAATATGCGGTGAACTGTAGAAGAAATTCAAACTTGGATTACCCTTGACTGGGCATGGCATCTCAAATTCAAAGAACCGCAGTGGTAATTAAGATATAAACTTTACTTCTTGGATCTGCATTTCTAACTTGAAGTTCGGATTCTTCAGATTCAGATTTTTAGATTTTTAGTGGAAAGAAAGAGGCACCGATCATAATTCATTAGAGAAAGGAAAATGTCGAGAACAAATTGATCAAATCCAATTCAATAAAATCTATACCATCAGCAGTATATTAAAATGCCTTAATAACTACTGCAATCATACACATTGTATACCAAAACAAAGAGAAAATTTGCAATCATCATCACACCAAGTTCTTCAGAATTACATATTAAGCATATCATTTGGACAAATTTCGCATAACCCAGAAAAACCCATTTCTGGAAATCATTAAAAATAAGGAATTTGGGAAATCCGAAAACAAAGAACCAATATATATTTATATATTTTTATGAAACAGCATATACCCACTTCATCAAATTGAACATATTTCTATGACAGAATAAAACATCAAATCAAAGAAAGATTCTGAATTGGAAATTGAATAAAAGATTAAACCTGTCGGTGAAGAGCGTGCCAGCACAGAAGCAGCCAATACAAAGAAAAAGAACCAATTTCCGAGACACAACACCCTTTGAAGATGACTCCAACCCTCTGCTTTTCAGAGACATTGTGCCGTTCTTTTCTTTAACCATGCCAATAACTAAACTACAGTGAAACCCATTATCCAATTGCTTGAACTCGGCCAAGAAAGTCAGAAACAGATCCAAAGAGTCTTTGTTTTTCCTCTGTAAGACCAAATAGATCTTCACAGAGAGCTCTATCCCAGAGAAGGACTGAAATGAGAACAGAAATTAGCTTCTCTGTATGATACTCTCTCTCTAGAACTCTACATGAAATCGCTCTGTGTTTTCGGTTGAAGTTGTACAGTTTAGTTCAACAAACAAGGGAAGGAATGGGGTTGGAAGTGGTGGTGGCATAGAATTTGAGAAAGACCGACCAACCGCAAATGTTTGAATATAAAATTACTAAACAGTCCTTTAAAACTCTCAATAATCAATAAAATGTCGGTGGCTTGCAAGTGAAAAGTGTTGGGAAAACCGGATTCAGTGATTCAGTGCGATGTAAACGTTCTTTTTTTTTTCTTTTTTTTTTAATCATAAAATGAGTCCATGGTGAGCTCCGTGCCACCATGCACCGCACTCAGTGGTGGGCCCCTGACATATTAGGTTTGGAACCTTCGGTTTGCCGTCTTGTGATTATTGGATTATGCAAAAATTCAGTCTGTTTCAATCCGAATTTAGGACATATATCTTATGAATAAATCATATAAATTTTTTTACTAAACAAATATTTGATCCGTTCGATCGGAATCTTATAAGGTTAACCAACATATATTTTAAAATTTCTTATTTAATAGATATTTGATCCGAATCTCATTCGACAGAATTTTTATGAATAAACTATTGGGATAATTTCACTACCACCCAATAGTTTGGCCAAATATGAGTCTAAAACATCTTTCGAAAATAACCAACACTTAGGTCCATTTTCACTTTTCCGTTACTGTCTCCGTTAAAAACATGGGAAAAGACATATTTGTCCCTAATTTTTTAATCACATTTAATACAAAATATCAAATAAGGACGCTTGTCTGTCTCTCTCTCTTCTCTACCGATCAAAACCACGACCCACAAATTAACAAAACCATGAAACCCTAAAGCACAAAGATTAACTGTAGCAGCTTTGGATCACCATGGCTGCACAAGTTCGAGTACTGCTCAAGGCACATCAATGATTTACTGGATACAGTACAACCCACAAGACAGCGATAGAAGTCAGCTAGATTTTGCACAAAATCAACGGATTTGAGGTGAGGATCTATGGGTGGCTCAAGAAGGTCAGTTGTGGGGAGTCAATAAGGAAGAAGAGGTTCGGCCATTGACACTGAATTGGTGTAATTAGAATTCGATAAAATGGAATTGATAGTCAGGTTGCCTTGCCGGTGGTGGTGGTGGTTGAACTTGCCGGCGCAGCCACTGGCGGTGGTACTACGAGCAGCGAAGGTATCTAGGGGGCTTAAAGCGTGGACTTGGGTGGTCGGTTTCTGAGATTGAGACCACGCATGGTATCAATTAAAGGTAGTGTGTATTAACGGATGAGATTGGGTTTTTTTGATTGATCTCCATTATCGGTTGAAAAAGACATGAATCGAACAGGATTGTAAATCAAACGGTTGATTGATTAGCTCCGACTCGCTAACACCATCATTAGAGAGAGAGAGAGTTTCTGGCTAGACCCGGTGTTTATGGAGCTTAGCGGCATGGTGGTATGAGGGAGGAGAGGACACGATGTATATATATAGATATATATATATATAAAAAGCAATGAAGCTATATAAGGAGTAATTTAATTTGTAGAGTTTCAATAATTCTTGATCCACGCAATCTAGACCCGGTGTTTATGGAGCTTAGCGGCATGGTGGTATGAGGGAGGAGAGGACACGATGTATATATATAGATATATATATATATAAAAAGCAATGAAGCTATATAAGGAGTAATTTAATTTGTAGAGTTTCAATAATTCTTGATATTTAATTTGTAGAGTTTCAATAATTCTTGATCCACGCAATCGTTGTTGAAATTCTAGCAATCGTCGCCCACTTTTTCCCCGAACCTGGCCTGTGGACGCATAGTGCTTCACCTCCTGCGAGAGCTGATTACATATGGTTTATTGTATATGAATTTTTGTATTATTATTATAATTTTTTTTTTTGGTAATTAATCAATTTTGGGGAAACCAACCCCATTAATTATTTCTTTCAATTTATTAATCAGGGTATTTACAGATTGATTTGGGAATTTAGTATTGGAGTTTATGGTTTATGGAACCAATAAGTTATGTATAGAAAGTGTATATGTTGTGTATGATCGAGAGAGAGAGAGAGAGACGAAGATGAATTAGACAGATGAAGGAAATATATATATATATATATATATATATATATATATATATATATATATATATAAATATAATGATAGAAATAGACTTCAGTTCACATGCTAAACAATAAAAAGGAGTTTTTGTTGTCCAAAAAATACGAGGACAAGCCTCTCTCTCTCTCTCTCTCTATATATATATATATATATATATATATATATGAAATGATGGAATATATGAATGGGTGATTGATCGTAGAACCGGATACTTATAAAAAATTTCTTATTTTTCTCTTTCTTTTTTTAAATTTCATTAATTTCTTAAAAAAATAAAATTTTCTTATTAAAAAAATATATTAATGGGTGATTTTTCTTATTTTAGTTTTAATATTTTTTTTTTAATTTTCTCTCTCTCTTTTTAAATTTCATTAATTTCCTTACAAAAATAAAATTTTCTTACTTAAAATTTCATTACTTTCCTTAAAAATATATATGAATGAGTGATTTTTCTTATTTTAGTTTTTAATTTTTTTAAAATTTTCTCTTTCTCTTTTTAAATTTCATTAATTTCCTTAAAAAATAAAATTTTCTTACTTAAAATTTCATTAATTTCCTTAAAAAAATATAGCCCTCAATAGCAAACGGTATGATGTTGATCACCTACTTTATTTATTCTTGTATATGAAAAAGGAAGGGTAAACTTGTCATTTGAATAGTCAATCTAAAGTCAAATGAGGGTAAACATGTAATTTTAATCATTAAAGAAACAATTTATTAGGTCAAACCAAAGTCAAAGGGTAAGAATATCTTTTTACATGTAAAAAGTGGTCTGACACACCTGTCAACTAACTTTTAGGGTATGAATGAGAAACGGAACAAACGTTTGTAATGTGAGTGATAGTTATTTTCGAAAGATGTTTTAGACTGATATTTGGCCAAACTATTGGAGGTGTCAATGAAATTATCCCTAAACTATTTTATGATTTGTTATTAAACAGATATTCATTTTGGGTGTAGTTTAAAAGAAATTAATGTAAAAGGTCTATAAACAATTTTTAGAATAAAAATGATAGGCAAGGGAACATAAATACAATATGAAAGAAAAATGAAAAGAAAATTAGAGTTTTACAATTTGTTAAAGAATAAATACTTGGGAGCAAGGGAAAAAAAGAGAGAAAAAGAAGAAGAAGATGATGGATAATAACATTTTGATAATGTGTAAATATTATATATTTAGATGGTATATGTTTAACATATTATATAATATATTATGTCAGATCAGATTATTACATAATTAATTTAACCATAATTCATATTCAATTTATTTAACTAATCAATAAAATAATTCGAATAGGATTAAATTTTTAATTTATATTCAAATTATAGGATCAAAATCAAAATCAAATTCGATGTAGAGTGAAAATTCGGGGCGAAGTAACATTTGTGTTACTTTTATTTTTTTGGTGAATTGAAAATTGAGAGGTGTTAGAACTACAGTAACAGTCTCTTAAAATCTTGCAAAGAAGCTCACGTCATCAATTTGTGTTTTTCATTCATTAGTTGAAAATTGCAAAATGCACCATCTCTTTATCCGACCAACGACAATAATTTTGCCTTTTTCATATTATCTTCATTATAGTCCTCACCGACTTTCTCCACTTCCACACTCAATCTCTATCTCTCTTTTTGAAAATAATGAAACATAGGTACGTCGTCCATTCTGTCCCCCCAAAAAAAAAAAAACAAAATATTATGTTTTTTTGTTTTGATCTGTTTTAAAATAGTCGTTCACTTTTCGTTTTTTTAAATAATATATTTTATATTTTTTTATATATATCCTTGAAATTTAAAATTTAAAATTTGAATATAAGGACAAATTAGTAACTTTTCAAAGAGACAAAGCATGTCCCACATGTTTCCTTAAAAATTCTTACTTTCCAAAAGTGACATTTAAATTGGGACAGAGGAAATATCAGTTAATAAAAGAGTGCAATGCAAAATTGAAAATTAGAACATCACTTTCAGATTTTCTTCACAAAATTCAGGACATTAAACTACCATCTCAAATCTCAACTTTAAACTTGCATGACTTTAAATTTACGGTAAATTGCATTGGTCTCTTGGATTATTATGGGATGCACTAAGGAGGTTTGACACTACAATCCGACACTCATTAAGATAATTAATTAGATAAAGTTTAAAAAAAAAAAAAAAAAAATATTGTCCTTACCCTGAACTAAAAATTATCCTCTTGAACTATTAATTTATTGTAATTAAGAATAAACTCATCACAAAAGACTATTTTACCCTTTCTTATTAAATTTGTCATTTCTTATTAAATTGTTTTATAATTTTTTCTCTTATCTAAATATTAATTATACCATTTACCTTAATTTTATTATTAGTATTAATTTATCATAAAAATGGGGAAAAAAATTGTAATTATATATTCTAATATGATTAACTTATAAATAAACTATAACATTTATAATAAAATTTATTATACTCAGTTTAAAAAAAAAATTATCATAAAAAATACCTTGTTTTCATACAATATATTCATGAAAATTTAATAAATTACTTAAATGAAAAAAATACCTTATTTTTCATGCAATCTATTCATAAAAAAATAAATAAATTACTTAAATTGTTTTAAAATTTTCAGCGTAATATTGTTATTTAAAAAATTAATATAAAAATTAATGGTAATTTATGCAAATTTAATAAAGAATATATCATCAATATAGTATGAGTCTTTTTCTTAATTTATTTAAATAAGAAAAATAAATTAAGTGTAATTAAAAAGGAAATGGCATTATGGTCATTTAATGAAAAATAGACTAGGCAATGGAGCATTTTGCAACAAAATGTGATAGTTCAGGGGGTATTATGCACAAAGTATAATTCAAAATAATTACTTACAAATTTCAATATAGTTTAGAATTTTTTTTACACTTTATCCTAATTAATAGGGTAAACTACATTAAAACCCATTTTCTATCTGTGTTTTTCTTTAAACCCCATTTTTCTATTTTTCTGCCAAAAAAAAAACCCCCTCAACTATTCAAGGGAGGGTGATTTAACTAACGAAAGTTAGTTTAAAGAAAACTGAAATATAAATTGATTTAAATACTCATTAAAGCCTATTTGAAAATTTATTTTGCTTCTTATTTTTTTATTTATTAAATAACCTAAACGGTATCATTCACACAAATTAACACTTCTATTGTTTTTTTTTGTTTTGTTTTAACCTTTTACTAGAGGCAAGTTCACATTAGTTACATGGAAGGAATTTTTTATTTTTTTATAGAAAAAAATGATATTGAAATATATATATATAAGAAGAAGAAGAAGAAGAAGAAGAATAAGAAGAAGAAAAAAACATGAAGGCATAAATATTAATATAAAAAAGAAAAAAAATTAGGCATTATTTTTCGTAGTGTCTCTTTAATAAATTTATATAAAATGAAAATCAATAAAAACCAAATAAATGAATGCACAATATAATTCTCAAATATATATATATAGTAGATAAATTTCAAGAAAAAAACCTAGATTTATATTGGTCTGAAGGTTGGATGGAAATGAAAATATAGTATAAATAATATTTAATGGTACATATTATATATACCATTATATTATGATACAAATTATATATAATATTATAATGATGGAAGAGTACGTGTTGTTGCAATAGTGGAAGATATGCAGCTAAGAGTAATAATGAAGTAGATATTTATGTGAGGGTATTAAAATAGGTATAAGGATATTTTTGTCTAAAAAATATATGAGAAACTAAATATCCAAACAGTTCCCTTTCAGCTAACTTCCGTTAGTTAAATCACCCCCTCAAATAGTTGAGGGGGATTTATTGACAAAAAATATATAAAAAAAGGGTTTAGTGAAAAATATAAATAAAAAAAAAGAATTTAATGTAATTCACCCTAATTAATAAGATAAATACGTACATGCCATGTACCATGGATTTAGAAAGATTTAAATACTAAAATCAAGCTAATAATCCAACAAACCATTGCAGAGAGGTCTCATTCCATTCAGTCACTTCCCAGTAATTTCAGAAATTTTCACATAACATTGACAATTCATTTTTTAAACAGTAACATAAACCCCATGACCTCCCTTGTCTCACCCAAGTCCCAACTTTTGTAGCATGTGAAAATGTGACAAATCCAAATAAAGTTCAAATGGTATTCCAGCACCATAAGGGCCCCAGCCTGTCCTATATATGGGTAGAGATATTATTATTTTCTCACCTAATTAGATCTGCCACCTGATGGTGTCAAGGTGGGTGGGTAGAGCCCACCAACATAAATTTAATATATCAATTGGCGTTTTTATAAGCAAGATAATTTTTTTTAATTAGTATAACTTTACTAATAACTTATTTTTAACGTTTCACAAATGCAATGCCATCAATTGCTATCGTATGTATTATCTTCCATTTACTTTCACAAAGTAATTTAAGCTAATTTAATTTTTTAAAGATTGAAATTTCCAATTAATTCTGTTCCCAGTTGGAGATATAAATTTGATTATATCATGGTCCCTCTATTTTAACTTATTTATTTATTTATTTTCTTTTCTTGGAAGGAATTTTCACTTTTATCTTCTATATTTTAAGTTTTTCTACGCATAAATGTACTTTTCGGTATTGTCAACACTACCCTTAAGGTGATACTCGGATTTTTATTAATTTGTTAATTAATGAATAATGAATGATTCAATATATGTGATTACTCCATCCGAATCAATAGACAACAAACTCATAGTACCCCTTCTTCTCTAACACCACAGAAGGCAAACGATCCCATGCTGATAATCTTCTCTTGATGTCATTCATATTTTTCACCTAAAATAAAAAGGATAGAAGGGGGATAAAAAAATTTCCACCTAAAATTGTTCATGTTTTCTCTTGATGTCATTCATATTTTTCACTTCTTTAGTACCAAACATTTGAGATTTGACTTTCAATCAATGACAATGGGTCATACACCTTTTATATTGAAAAATAGTTACCTTAAGAGCTCCTCGTTAAATATTTTGTGACTGTTTTGAAAGATAACTTGTTAACATACTCTACTAAATTAACATCAATTTTATTTTTATATTTTAAAAAAATTACACAAAACTTTGGGACTCACTTGGTTTGTAATTCTAAAAATAGAGAACAGTTTTCAGAGAATAATAAAAGACTGTTATCTGAAAACATGTATTTTTATAACTGAATTTTAAAAAACAATTTTCATAATTATAAACTAAACTCGTCCTTGATTATTTAAAGTAAAAGATAAATAAATAACTAAACAGATATTTTACTACTATTAGGCTTAGTTTGGTATGGGGCATTTTGGTAAGGTAGACAAGGATTTAAAATTTTACCACTATTAGCCTTAGTTTGGTATGGGGCATTCCATTCTCAATCATTCTCTTTGTTTGGTGTGACATTTAAGATGAGAATGACAATTCTCTTAAAAATTCATTTCATATCTAAACCGATGGAATAAAAATTCATTACAACAAATAAAATTTTTGGCCGCCTTCATCGCCTTCCACCGCCGTTGTTGCTGCCGCTGCCACTGCACCCCGCCTTCCATTGTTACCACCGTCTTCCACCACCGCTCCCATCGTCTTCCATCACTTCCATTGCTGTTGCCTTCCACTAACATCACTTAAAAAAGTAATTATCATTTTATTCTTACATTATTTTATATTTATAATCAAACAATTAAATAAGATGGTCATTTTATTATATTCACATTCACATTTCATTTCCAATTACATCCATTTTATTCTTTAGGTACCAAATTAGACCAAAATGATTGTTATTTTTCAATTTGCTGTCCTTAAATTATTTTCTCAATAACTATTTTTTTTTTCTTCAGAAAATTAAACAAATTGTATATACAAAAGGAGTAGTACATGAAGGCTTTGACAAAACAATGAGCCCAGCAAAGAGACCCAAACAGGCAATAAATAGCTTAAAAAATTAAAATTTGGATGCAAGTACAAATAGACAGAGAGTCAAACAAATACTCGATATATGTTGTGTATACGAAAGAAATTTTAAGGAAAATACCAAAAGGACCAAGTATGAACCCCGGGTTGTGGGGTCCAGACCCATGACCTTTTGCCATCGGGGGAGTCGGCAATCTAACGTGTGAGTCAACTTGGAGCAAACAAATAGAAAAATAATACCAAAAATTTCCCACCTGAAACATGAGGTTCACATAATTTTTTTCTCCATAAAACGTTTCTTGTTTTATTTCATAGTATCTGAACCATCGACGTCCAAGCACTAAAAATTAAATGGTCCAGATTGAGGAACACGTGCCTCGCGTGGTCATGACCCATAACCAATCAAACAAAAATATCATCCTTTATAATTGTGGTCGAGCCCTCCATTTCAGAAAAAATAGATCAACATCTCTTATTTTTCTCCACACTTCCATTCAATGGCAGGAGCTCTCTCCCACTTCGGTACCAAACCAACCCTACTTTCCCCCTCTAGATCTAATCCCAACCGTCCATCATCATCGTCTTATAGGCCCATGATTGTCACTATGGCCCACGACCAATCTTACTGGGCTTCCATAGACGCCGACATCGAGGCCCATCTCAAGAAGGCCATCCCAATCCGGCCACCACTCTCCGTCTTTGAGCCCATGCACTACCTCACCTTTGCCGCCCCGAGAACCACCGCACCGGCCTTGTGCATTGCCGCATGTGAGCTCGTTGGCGGCCACCGTGACCAGGGCATGGCTGCTGCTTCCGCTCTCCACCTCATGCATGCTGCAGCATACACCCATGAGCACCTCCCTTTGACGGACAGGCCCAGGCCCAAGCCCGCGGTCCATCACGCCTTCAACCCAAACATAGAGCTACTCACTGGTGATGGAATCTTCCCATTTGGATATGAATTATTGGCTAGAAACAACGACCCGGCCCAAAACAGTTCTGATCGGGTCTTACGGGTTATCATTGAGATTACACGCGCCATGGGCTCACAGGGGGTGGTGGATGGCCAATACCGCGAAGTTCAGTGTAGTGGGTCCGACGGTGAGGAGCCATGCCACATGGGGTGGATCGAATACGTGTGCAAAAAGAAGGAAGGTGAACTACACGCGTGTGGGGCCGCGTGTGGGGCCATATTGGGAGGTGGAAGTGAGGAGGAGATAGAGAAGTTGAGAAAATATGGGCTTTATGTAGGAATGATACAAGGAATGCTATATGGAGTGGGAAGGAATGAGAAGGGATCAAACGAGGCCGCGGAAAAGTTGAGAGAATTGGCTACGAAGGAATTGGAAAATTTCAGTGATAGAAAGATTGAGTCACTTTCTAGCCTTGTTGAGGCTAACCTATGCAATGTCTAGAGTTTTAGTATGTGTTGAATGTGTACCCAAACACAAGGGAATTAGTCGACGTCATGGTTTGTGGAGAGAAAAAAATATGGGACTTGTGCAGGACATGTGACTCTTGTGTCTTTTTAACTCATTGAATTGTCCAAAATCTGCCTGTAAAATCAGTGTAAGAAAGTTTGGACTTTAAAGAGTTTCTGTTTTTTTCATTACCTAATTATACTAGTTTTTCATATGGATGGTCTCTATGGTCATTTACCTTGTTTATTAAAGTCTCATGCCAGTAAGTGTGGGGTCTCAAACTTGTGATATAGTAGGGAACTTTAGATCTGTCTTCTGTGTTTCTTTTTCAATACCTTAAATGAGTGGGTGCAGTTTATTGAATAAGTTTTGTGTGTGTTAATCCCATGATATGCTGAGTAATGTTTCTCTTGACTTAACATGGTTCCAAAAATTGCTCAAAATTATAAATTGTGATAAGTATTGGTTTATTGTACAATTAAGAAAAGCACTAAATTGATGCAAGTTGAGAATTCTTAAAGGTCAATTTGAAAAAGGAGAAATGAAGTTGTTCAATAATATGTGTCCAAGTGTGGACAAAAAGCGTACTTGTGTGAGTTTGTGTTTCTTAAAAATGGAAAAAAAATAAATAAGAGTTGTGTCCGAATTCAGAGCAATGTTAGTAATTGGAACTAACTTGTCTAATTCCTAAAATTATGAATTAAGAACAGCATTAAATCTATGCCAGTTAGGACTTGGGAGCCCTCAATGGTCCATTTGAAAAAGGAGCAATGAAGTTGTTCACTAATAGTTATGTCTTCTTCAAGAACAATGTTATGAATTGGAACTGACTTAATTCGATTTCAGATGTTGGATTTTTGGTGGCACGTCCCTTTCTATCCTCGTATCCTTTCTATTTTGTGATCGATAGAAAATAAATTGAAATTAATTTCCTTCCGTTTAAAACGTTGAAAGTTTGGTTGCATGTCCCTTTCTATTGTATATCCTTACAATCTTGTGATTTCACAAGCAAAATGAAAAATTATTGAGTGTTAAACATATCTCTCTTTTAACGATAATAAGAAAATTAGTGAGTCATCATGATAAGAAAATAAACACCCATTTGATATTCACTCACCCTTTCTTGGATAGTGGCGCTACATTGTTAGTACTCTCAAGGTATCATCCTCCAATAATATCTGAAGCAAATGAGTTTTGTTTTTCCTGATTTATTTGCTGCTTAATATTTCTATGAATTTGTTATAAATATTATTGTTTTCATCTACAATCATTTTTCACTTGTATGAGACCTTAGAAGTGAGGAGGGTGCTTAATCTGTGATTGGTTGCGATGGGCCGGGCAAGCCCACGAATCGGTTTCAGAGGCTGCCTGACCTTAAACATAGTTGTAATGGCTGGGCTAAGGCCCAATAATACTAATTTAAACTAGTTCAGTTTGTTTAGTTAATTTGGCAGTACTCGTACAAATTATTGTTACGTATCAAGTATCTTTAGTGAATTAGCGTGTAATTTTTTTATTTAAAATTCTCAATGACGTGGCTTCCAGTTTCCATAATAAGCCTAACTAACTTATTATTATATATATATAAATATATTTTATGGACAATGGTGTATTTCATAGTCTATCATCAACACATGAAGTTCTCTCCAATCAAATGAAATTTTTTACGATTAAACTATTCCTTTGAGATTTGTCAAAGCAACTTAATACAAGATAAATTTACTTAAATTCTATGCTTAGAAATTGGTTGTGTCATAATAAGATGTAATGACTACTTTACCTGCATTAGAATATGAGTCAAGTTAACTATTAAAATTTTTTCCTTCACAAAAAAAATCAAACGCTCATTTGTTCATATAAGACCTAAATCTTTTGTCTCTAACTTACTGAAATTGAATAGATACATTAGTTAATGTTAGTTGATAAATAGTTTATGACCAACTCTAAGATTGTTTGACTAAAACTAATGAAGTTTTGTACCCCAATTGTTTGGTGACAATTATATAAATATATTTAGCCATCATACTCTATATAAAATTGCAACTTATGAAATTATTTCAATCTATAAAAATATTTCAAAAAATTTAATCTACGTTAATATATTAGTCCTTATCTTATGCCTCGCCTAAAACACACGCCTCTGTCTTTGTAGTTTGTATCCACGTTGAACCGAGCGGAGTGGTGACTCGTTCCGGTCGAACAAATAGCGAAGAATTCCCCGAGTTTTCCTTGTTAGCCTGCAAAGTTCAAATGACGGTATGGTGAGAAGAGAAGACCCATATTTATCACTTTGCAAATGCAACGAGTTAAAAGGTTCTGATTCAGCTGTTATTTGACAAAATTTGATCCATATATATATATATAGAGAGAGAGAGAGAGAGTGAGTTGAGAAGATATGTCGAAATTGTGGGCAAGACTTGCAGGGGCCTTCAGAAACCGAACATTTGCGGGAATGGACAAAGCAGGCAATCGATACTTCGCCAGAAAAGAAGAGATCGATGGTATCAGTAAGTGGGTCTCTTTCCCCATCCTATATATATATATATACACACACTTAATAAATTGATCAATAGCCTTTATTCAGTGAAATCTACAATATGCCCTTTGCTGCTATTGTTTGTTTGATCTACAGTGCAAATTCTTGAAGGCTATGTCATTAGATTTTCAAGAATCATTTCGAATTGTTTGGGTTTGTAGAAGATGATAACAGGTCTTCCATTTGTGAAATTTGCAATTATAATCTGAACCCATTTGATGATTTATTTGTGACTTCGAAAATTAATTCATGCTTTGTACTTGGAATTGGGGATGACATTATGGTACTTCGAAAATTTATTGTGCCGATTGATTTAACTCTAATTTTCTGGTATTCAAAAAGGTTTACACTATATCAGTACTAGGACTGAAGTCAAATACTTTGGAGTTGCTCTTTACCCAATTCACTCCTCACAATAAAGACTAACACTCGATAGCTCGGAACACATGAGTGGACTTGCTGAATTACTACGCCCATTTTGGCTAGCATTGATACTTTTGGGGATCACATATTGTGCAATGCAATTTTTATGCATTCATGGATTGTTGCTTTTATTGACTGTACTATTCGTTAGCTCGAAGTAGACAACAATTTTGATCATTGGCTTAAATTGCGGAATTGCTGAAACTAATGGTGCAGGAAATGCTTGGTTGTGGTAAGGCAACACTTGGCAAGTCCAAATAATATGTTACATGGTTGATCTTATGGTGGGATTAGATCACTAAAAACTTTCAGGTTTAGGGTTTTAATAAATTGGAGAATTGTAACAAACTTTTTTGATGGAAAGGGGCTTGCTTTTGAAATAGTGGTTTGCTGAAAATTTAGAAATTGAAGTGCAGAAATTTCTGGACAGCAACTACCTAGGGTTTGGTTTTTATTTAAAGGTCAAAGGTAGAGGAATCGATAAGGTTGATTAAAAATTGGCAAGGTAAACTATTGGGGAATAAAATAGGGATTGTTTCGGGGCTGTAAAGACAACCTGTGAACTAAATTGGATTATTGTGGGTTTAAATTGTTAAGGTTGAGTCTTTGTAGGGGGAGTGATTGGTCTGGTCAAGGTAGGATATTAGAGGTTGAAAAGGGGCTTACAAGGTTGGCTTTGGATTTTAAAAGCATATAAAAGTAGCAATTTATGGAGAGGGAGAAGAGCTGATTTCATAGATTTGAACTGTTAGAGAATAGATGATTTTGTGAGGTGTTGTAATTGAACCTTTATGCATGAAGGTATCTCTTCCAACTTCCAAAGGGAAGGTTGAGCCATTGCGAGTTCAAATTCCAATTTGGACAAAGTGAGTGTCTGTCTTAATTATTGAAAAAAAAGAATTAAGTGGGGTGAAGCCTATGGAATTATAGAAATCTTACCTAGAATTCCCGAGTGAGAAAATATTGGTGTGATGGGATACATAACCTACAACGGCTAAATAGGTCAAATTGATCCTTAATGAGCCGTTGCCTAATTTAAGATTCAACATATTCCAATCAATCATAGTAAATCAATTTATCAAATAATTAGTAGTTTAGCAAGTAATTGGAATGAAGCAATTGCATAAAGTAATAGTGGGCACATAGGATTTTTTACGTGAAAACCCAAATGGAAAAATGATGGGATATTATGTACAGCTAATCAATTCATTTGATGAAAAGAAGTAATAGAAGGCACACAGGACATTTTACGTACAAACTCAATGTGAAAAATCATTGGATCTCATGTAGAGCTAATCAATCCATCTAACAAAAAGGAGTATGACATTTCCACCAGCTATAGATTCTATTCCAAGAATCTCATTCACTGATTTAACTTTGATGAATCCAATTTTTGCTATCCACATCAATGAACACTCCTCATGGCCGTCTATTCATCAAATGTATATCTCTCAAACTGAATCAGGAGATTACTCAAAGAAGATGATGAGCTGTTTAATCCTTAGCTAGCAAGCTATGTGTTGAAACTGAGGCTCTCTGGATTCTTTTTTTCTCTGGACTAGTGTGTTCCTCTTTTATCTATCTCCCTCATGTATATATATTTGTTTCACATGTTTCAAGCCCTTTTATAAACTTTGACCAAGTTTGAAAGTTTCAAAATTTAATTTGGAAAAGGAAAATGTTGATGATGATTGTACTAAAGTTCTTGATCGATTAGAAGCATTATGGAAACATCTCGATCAGTTAAACACAGATTCAATCAATCGAGTAAATCCTATTTTGATCCCAATTTTTAATTAATCAAGTCAATCAATTTAACTTAATGGGTTAGTTTCTATGAAATATGGGCTAACTAATCTAATTAATATCAATTTAAATCTTTTATTTTTATGGCCTTTAAGTGGCGGGAGCCTCGTGCACTGGGCTAGCAGCTACCCCCCCCCCCCCCCCCCCCCCCCCCTTTCTTTTATTTTTATTTTTTAATTCTTATGGCCTCTAAGTCACTTACCACACCTATTGTGCAATCAAGGTAGTCTGGATTGTTTTCTGAACTCTGAATATGGCTTTGCCTTTGATCAGTAAGAAGCAATGATGAAGCGGTCAATCAACTGTCATACGAAACTCCTAATTTGCTCTTTCCTTTTAGTATGACCTGGTCAATTAGTATAATTGATATTGCTCGCCTTAGCAAGAAAATGGTGAAGACAACCTGTTTTTTCTTCTCTGTGGGTAGGAAATCCAAGCTTACTAGATCCTACAACTGTGCTTTGAGGAAGTTACTAAGTGTGATGGGCGTGTTTTTACACTAATATGGGAAATTAGGAGTGAAGAAAGAAAAAGCAACTCTCTCTCTCTTTCTCTTCTTTTTTTTTTTTTTTTTGGGGGGGGGGGGGGGGGGGGGGGGGGGATTGTTACTGAAAATCAAAAAGTCAAATCCAGCTTTTGCTTCGCTCAGATTTGCCAATCTTGGGAAGATTGCAAAAAAGGACCTAAATCCAAATATGTTCTTTTTCTTTTGCATCATTAAATTAGGGGATAACTGTCATCCCTCCCCCATTTCATGTCCTTTACCTCATCCAAACAAGTTGTTAAGGTGATCTATATTGAATTGCACATTTGCATGTGAATATATGATATAACATCAAACATTGTATTGTATGTGCAATACATGTATATACATGATTGTGTCATAATTTTAGTCACTATTAACTTTTTAGTATGCTGCTATGTCCTTAGTGAAAGAGAAAAGATGGGTGATATTCAAAGGGGAAGAGGATCCAACCTCCGTTCCAGGTAGCTTTTGTGATGAATGCGAATTACTTCTACTTCTCCTTTTTGTATGACACGCCTTGTACACTTTTTTTTTTTCCTAGTTGTAACTCATGCACCCACTTTTTGTCCCCAATGGGACCTAAATCCTTGACCTTCCTCCACTCAAGAAGGTAGAGGAGACACCACTAGGCTATATCCCTTGGTGGTGCCGTGTATACTTTTGATAGTAATAGTGGAGCATAGGAAAGGAGAGCGATCAAGAACTTCCGTTGCTATGCTCTCCTTTGTGCTTTCTTTAATTTATACTTTATTGCTTGCATTGCGATTATCTTTGAACTTTAGCTGCCGCAAACTTTCAAAACCAAATTCATTGGGTGCCATATTCGATGGTTCATATTCTTTATTTTCGCATATATACGTTTATTTAATCCAATCACCTCTTAGACTGTGGCTTCTTATTTTAAATTTAATATGGACGTGTCTCCAGAACATGCTAATGATGTCAAATCAACCCCATGCACTTTAAAAGGAAACATTGATCCCTAATATAATGGTTTGATCTGCATGCCAAGAATGAGCTCATCACCAACAGGCCTATGGCCTAGCGGTACAAGGCTCCTATTTCTCAAAGGGAGGTCAGGAGTTCGAACCTCAGTGGAGGCAGTGTGTGTGAGTCCCAACTAGGAAAAAAAAAAAATATATAAAATAAAGGACGAGCTCATCGTAAGCGTGATGGGAGCACTGCCTTGCAACGTTAATCCACTGAAATGTCATTGTTTGATTAAATTTGTTATTTGGCCTTCTGTAATCACATGTTAAACTAAAACCATTTACAGATCTAATAAGTTAGCTTAACCAGAAAGATTATCACTTTGAACATTGTAGTTGAATGGATATGTTGGCTGAATGGGCAGCGCAGAAGAGCTCCGACACCAGAGGTAAATTAGAAACTGTTTCTCTTTACTTTCTCAATGTATCTTAAACCAAATCTTCAATATGCGAGTGTTTGCATGTGTTGAGTAAGGAATTACAAGGAACATATTTTACTAACTATTAATAGTTTATGTAAACCAAATCATAATTAGGTTTCATGAATTGCTTGCTTGAGATGGAACATTCTATGGATGACTTAGCACTCTCTCTCTCTCTCTCTCTCTCTCATCGGTCTCTAGTTACTGCACATCTAAAACTCTCATGATTGGTCTGCAGTGGATTGGGTTCAAAATTTACTTCTTTTATATATTCACAGCTTCGAAATTGTTTAAATGGAATTAATCAATCAGTAGCTACAGTTATTTTATCATTTTGACTTGATCCGGTTTCAGGTTAATCTGCATGTTTTTGTGTACTACTGCATGCCTTAGCCAGATTAGGTTTGTGAAAATGAACTATGTTGTTTGAACCGACAACTTGTCACCCTTGTTGACATCTCCTTCAACTCTGTTTACTTGAGTTTTGGTTTCAAAATAGTATATTTAGATTTTGTCTACAGGTTGACTAAAAATATATTCACAAGCATACATTGACAATATTGACAATCCTATTATTATGCTCCAGTTGGTAGAAGGGAAGAACTAGAAGAAAGAAAATTGGAGAAGGGGGGAGATGGAGAAAGTCCACAACATTTGTTAGAGGAGTAAGAAGGTAAGCAGGAGATGAAGAAAAATTTATACTTAGCCTCCTTTCTATTTAAAAGTGGACAGAAGCGAGGGGGTAAAGAGGAACCTTTTTTGAATTTTTTTTTTTTGCCTTTAAACAACGCCCTTGTAGTGATATATGAGCGCATAATGGCACCAAAAAAAAAAGTAATAGCCCTTTTCTTAGCCTCATTTTTCTTTTCCTCCATATCCCTCAAAATAAAATGGAGTAATAGTTTCTTTTCCCTGGGTAGCTTTTTTCTTCTCACTTTTCTATCCCTTTTATTAAATGGAGCATTAATGTCTATTTGATAGACTAAATAAAAAGAATAAAAGTGGAAATGAATTTAAATAATTCTTGTTTGGAGTTAAGTACTGACCAAAACCATAATCCTTAGGTGTGAGGCGTTTTCTAGGACTCATGTATTGGCTTAGCGCTGGCATTGCCACATCTGCAACAACCACCACACTCAAACTACCACTAGGACAACCACACTGCCACTATACCACTACTATTCAACACCGCCTCTTCCAGAGATTTCCATCTCTACAAGTACCTTCACCAATTTGATAAAATCAATTTAGAGTATTCAAATGAACTGATTTTTATTTTTGTTGATTTCAATCCCCGTTCAGCAATTTCTCTGATTATTTCAACTCCTTTTGAGCTCACCCTAAAGTTCTCGCACATGCCCCTCCCTAAACAAAAGCTCAGAGTAACATAAATATCAGCCAACTAGTCCAAGGATTAATTCATAGCACAAAACTTCTAGCATTCAATTTTCTCGGTATCACTAGGACAAAACAGTCTTAGTTATTTGACTTATTTTATATAATGGTAAGTGTCGATCAGATTTTTATCACGAGAGAGAGTGAGAGAGAGAGTATGGACTGAGTATATTTTATTGACTTATTAATTTGTTTCCGGTCCATTAGAAAACTTCAAATAATGGGTAATTTAAACCTTATTATGTTGGACAATCATTTTCTTAAAGCTAAGGTTGTGTTTTTAATGGTATTTCCGAAATGCATTCTTACTAATTTGTATTATATCATCTTTATTTTCAGCTAAATTTGTAGTTTGCAGTTTAATCCATTTGTACTTTTTAAAGAAATATAGTTGCTTCGTCTTTTTTAAGTTGCAATTTATACCAAATTTTTCTTTTTCTTAAGACGGCAAGTTCTACTCACGTCCTTCTTTTAAGTTGGAGACAGGGATTTGCTTGCAAAGGTGAGAGTCGCTGGCAAAATCCCCTATCAATCATGTTTCTCATTCTATTTTGACCTTCCTCTTTTTTCTTTCTCTGCATTTGTAAGCCTTTCTATGGTTATACACGTGATGTGAAAAAGGAGTCATTTTTTGTTATTTATAAATGCAACTTAACTCTTGGTTATGGATTTGTTGAAAGTTGAAACCTGTCTTCTGTAATTGACAAGAAGATTTATTCCATCTACAGGAAATGATTGAGCTTGAGGCAAGGCGTGAACGTGTTAGACTGAATGTTGCTCGTATGTGCTGCTTCTTCTATTTCAGCTGTAGACTGTCAATCCATAGAAGACACAAATGATTTTGCACTAGATTGTTTCTCTTTTTTCTTTCTTTCTTTCTTTCGTTTTTTCAGTTTTAAGTAGTTTCTAATGTCATTCACTAATTTTTCAAAAGGGTCTTAATGAGAAAGTGTTTCATGACATTTTAAATTGGACTACTATCACTACTTTAGCAACTTTATACAAAGACCTCTATATTAACTTTCTTTCTATTTCGCAAAGTTCTCAAGAAGGAAGAAGAGGAAAGGAGAGCTAAAGAAGGCATAAAGTACAAAGGCACAAGCACCAGTAAGCTGCTTTTATATAGAAATACTTAATGTATTATAATGTTCAAGCAACTATTGATTATTTTACATTTTATGTATAGGTAAGGTTGGAGGACCAGACTTAAGAAGTTTTATTCAGCAATTTCCAGCTGATTCAGAAGGTACATATTCATTCATACGCACACTGCATTGGAGTAGGATTTTCTTTCGAAGGTATCAAAATATGCATGAAAATAAGTCTTAAGAGACACAAAAGTCTTACCTAAATTCCATGATACCAACTACAATTTATCACACTCATCAACTTTGGTGTTTGGTTGGGTTGCTGCTCTAAACATGAATGGGTAGAATATTACCCAACATGAGCTCTGGGGTTCCAAATTTGCAATGTGCTTTGACAGCTCATAATAATCTTACAGCTCTAGCCAAATGCCCATGTGAAACCTATTCGAAATGGCACTGTGAGTTACCTTCTGCCTAATGTCTCATTGTCTCCATGTATGTGCTAGAATGGCATGAATTATCGGCCAGCATATTTGGTACTGTTATTAGGAATTTTGGATAGCACCGTCTTGTTTTTCAAGGTGTTTTCTCTACTGAATTGATTATTGTGGTTTAGTGAGGGTCTAGAAATTTATAAAATGAACAAGTTGAATGTTGTACCATATTGACGTTGGGATGAAATTCATTCCTTAGATTTAATTTAGTCCATGCATCTTTTATAGTCAACTTGCTAGGCGTACATTAATCTAGGACGTCAGATGTGTTGCATAAAAGAATGAAGCAATAGATTTGGAGCAATATTTTTGTGATTTAAAAATAATGAAATTTAATATAAAGTTTTTATTCAATTGGTCAGTTTCATTGGAAAACAAAGATAATAATAGATTAGCAACTATGTTGACTTATTTTGTCAGACCAAGCAATCGAAAGTGATTTTAATAAAAAGCATCATACTAAAAGAAATAATGGCTATTACCTTTTAGTCTGTAACCTGAAGCAATTACTTTACAAATGAACCAACTTGATATAAGATTTACAAACTATCTTACTTCCCTAAATGTAATTGAGAAAACATATTGAGGGATAAGTCCTATGTTAAACTTTAGAGCCACCATTTCCCCTCTCTGACCAATAAACCTTTTCCTTTCTTCCCCCTGGAATATAATTTTTGTTTTGCTGTAGAATGTAGCTGTTATCTCTGGTGTTGATCGTGTTTCCACCATTTTTGTTGTTCTTGAAGGTGACAGGGGTGAGGAAGCATCTAATGAAGTGGATGGCTCGAGGTGAGTCAACTAAATATTCAACATAGGTTGTAAATTGAATTCGTCAAAAAATACAACTGCTAAGGGTACAGTCCTTGAGGCAATTGGAATCATATTCATATAATAACTTCCATACATACATACATATATGTGTGTGTGTGTGTGTGTGTGTACGTATTGCCATTGATAAAAATATGCTATTTCTTACAGTATAATCTATTACTCTTCAATCTTTGTATTAGGGATGTGTTCCCCTTTTGAACGCTTTTCTAATCGACTTTTACTTGTCAAAAAAGAATAATCTATTACTCTTCAATCGAGTGCTTTAAAATCCTAGAGTGAGCTTGTTTCCTCCTCCATCCCTCCTTCAAAATCTAGCAACTACCCATGCAAGGTGCTGCACCCTGATCCATTTGAAGTAATTTTTAGTTCCTTAGGTCTGCCCCGAGATTTTTCTTTCTATTTTCTTTTCTTATTGCTTTTCCCTTCTCTTTCTATTATTATTTCAATTTGTTTATGGTAGCCACTGCTTGCCTCCAATTATTGGTATGATGAATCTTAGCCCTTTTTTATTGCGTCTTCTTGAACTTACGGAACTTTTTCCACCATCAATCTTTTGATTAATGATGTCATTTCATTAATTTGTTTCTAAAGACGTTATTTATCAAAAAAAAATTTGTTTCTAAAGACGTATTTCATTTCTTTAAGTGTTCTATAATGGCCGTATGACTTTATAAATATTGCCAATCACACATATCTGAGACATCATGTGATTTTTCCAGGAAGTCTAAAGAAACTGAGGCACAGAAAGAATTCTCATCTCAAGAAAAACACCAGCCAGAGTAAGTATGCTGATTTAGTTCCCAAGTGCGTTGATGTATGTCTGACTTGCCAAATTTTAGAAACTTAACACACAAGAGACGTGTGATATGTTATCATGTGTGTATACCCTTCTTTAGAAATTTAAAACTAAAATGACCATGCTTGTCAAGATATTCAAATTTGAAATGACTAAATCTGCTAAAGCTCACACAATGGTCAGCTAAAGGATGGTTCTATAACCTTGTTTTAGGTCTTCAGAGCCAATGGGATCTGGTGCATCGTATAGGCCTGGGACCTGGCAGCCACCAACATGATGATTATCATATGTTAACGCACTTCACCAACAATGCTCCTTGCGGTGCTCACCATATTGCTCTTGGTTTTCAACTCCAATTCTCCTCAGCAGATTCAGTTCACTTAATTGTTGTTACTTGACGAGATTACTAGATGGTTATGTTTTGGCACGCTGCATGATGAAGTTCTTTATCACATCTATGTTAGTTTGAATATAATTTCTCGACATTTTTGGTAGATGGATCTCACTATAATTTCAGTTCAATGTATAATCATCAGGGTAACCTGATATTTTTTTTGTTGTTGGACTTTTTATCCGGCTTCTTCACGATGGAGTCTATTGTACTTTTGGACAGTAGTAGAAACTTAGAACATTCCATTGTCAATTACAGGCATACTTATTCAAATTTTTATGACACAAAGTGGCTTTCTTTCGTACTGGAACAAGTGTCAAGACAAGTTTTGTTGTACCAGGTAGGTTTCCGAGTTATGTTTTCCAAGTATGAGGGTAAATATTTTTTTAAAAAAACTGTCATTTTCTTGTTCTATTTTTTATTTTTTTAGCATAGAAACACAAGTCTTATCTGCTGCAGAAGAAGAGTGACAGAATGGTCAAGTTCTTTAAATTCAACACCATCTTTAGCAAAATTTTAAAATGTAACAATAATTGATTTGCATGGAGTACTAATACGGTCTCAATTTACGGTTGATTGATAGCATGAAATTCACGCATTTGAATTGAAAATGAAAGTAAATTAGTTTTATATTTGACCTGTCTTCAATTCTAATTTTCAAGATGCAATTTGAGCATCTTCTCAACAATGCGGCTTTGTCCTTACAAGGGTTATGAATTATTGACAATTTATTTTGGAAGGTAAAAAATTAACACACCTCCTTGATGGTCTTAGACCATTTTTCTCATTATATATATATATATATATATATATTATCATATGAACAAATCTCTTATTCATCAAAAATGTTATTGAAGTTCAAAGACATTTTGATTCCTGCCGGTTAATGGAGTGACGTGACTCGCCTTAGATCTCGCTTATTGCACGTCTTTCAAGCATGCCTCGCTCAATAGCGGCAGAAGTGGGCTATTATGTGTTTAGAACCTCATTCCATTGAATAAAACTTTCAAAAATTTTGATCCATCAATTCTTGTCTATTGATAATAGTTTTTGTATTTTTTTATTTTATCAAATGTGTTTATTTTTTGTTCAAATTTTCAATAATTGTGTATCAGTAAAAAGGATACCGTGAATCTTATTTATCCAAATTTTTTCTATAAAATTTTCTCTGTCTACATTATATCATAAAGGCAAAAACAACAATTTGATTTAGACAATATTTAAGAAATGCTGATGATGTTTTTTCTTGCAACTAAAATGAATCAACAAAAACTCAAAATTTGTATAACTGATATTTAGGAATTTCTAGAAAAGTTTAAATATTATCATAAAGGCAAACACAACAATTTGAAAATGGGTTAAAATTTGTAATCACGTTTCTAGTTTAAATATTTCAAATATTTAGACAATATTTAAGAAATGCTGATGATGTTTTTTTCTTGCAACTTAAATGAATCAACTAAAACTCAAAATTTGTCTAACTGATATTTAGGAATTTCTAGAAAAGTTTTAAATGTGTTAAAAAAAAAAATTAGTTTTTTATTTTCAGGGCAAGAAAATTATTAGGGAGGGTGGAAAGCTCAAAGACAAGCTTCTAAACAGGGGAAGCAACCCACCCACCAAGGCAATACCATACTTGTTATTTTTTTTTACTTTTTATCTGCAACGCAGGATTTAAAAAATAATAATACTATAGACTAATTTGTTCAACGAATGAAATTAATCAAATGAGTTTTTATACTTTTAATACAATGAATAAGTTTAAGTGTGAATCCCATGTTAAACTTATGATATGAAAATATAAGATGTAAAATAAGAAATGGAAGAGAGAAAGATAGAGAACAAAGTATATACACGGTTTGGCACTAAGGCCTGCATCCATATATCAAGAGCCAATAAGGTTACATTTATCTTATTACTTGTATTTCATGATTGTATTCATTTATATGTTTATATTGTATTAATACACCATATATAGGAAATAAAGTTGACAAAAAGAATAAATCAAGAAAGAAAGAAGGAAAACAAAAAGAATAATTAACACGTAAATCAAGGAGGAAAAAAAAAAAAGAAACGGAATATAATATATATTCGTTTTTCTTTTTTTTCTAACATATATGTATAATATAATATTTGTTTTCCTTTCTTTTCTTTTATATATATATATATATAATATTATACATATATATTATATATATTTCAGTATCCCATACATTACATTATAAACTCTTTAGCTATACAAATGAGTTTGATACAATCCGATTTTAAAATTATCTTTCTTTAAAAAATAATCTTGATTATTTTATACAATATTTTATCCAACTCTAAAAATGAAAATGAAAATAAAAAATTACCATCAATTTTTTTCACCAAAAAATTATTTGTAGAATTGAACTAGTAACACCCACCATTATTAGGTCCATTTCCATTACACGTAAAAAGTAGGATTCCACTGATTTGTAAAAATTATTCATCATCATCGTCGTCGTCATCAATATGCCACGTGTAGTGTTCGTCTCTATGCACCGTATAATCTGTAATGTATACACCGTATTCTAGTTGTTGTCAGTCTGACAAGGTGTGACAAAATATTTATATAGGAGTTGTCATGTATATGTATATATCCACCCCTTCATATTCATCCGCACTTTTTGAAGATTCAAGGTATCGCCTATCTTTTTCACGCTCATCCCCCTCTCTCTGTATCTACATCTTCACTCTCTTCTTCTCTATCTAGACCTTCACTTTCATTTCCTCAATTGCTTAGCTTCTCGTCCGCTTTCAGATCGTTCCGGTGGAATCACGGCGTCGACTGGCGATCTCCGGTTAGTCTTAGGGCTCAGATCCGAATTGCTCTCGTGATTGAACACGGTTTCAGCGCAAGATCGCGATTATGGGTATGATTGACTCTTCTGTATTGGTTTGGTCATGATTTGGAGTTTTAGATTTGATTTTTATTTATTTATTTATAATTATTCTCTGTTTTAGTGTCGACTGATGAGTTGTTTGTGTTAGTCTTGCCCTTATTTAATTCATTCAGTAAAATGGAAGTGTGTTTCATTTTTTATTTGGGTTATGGAAGTCTGGCATTGTTTTCTCCAATTCATGTTCTGATATGTTTATCAGTATGGTTCTTTTACTTTAAATTGTTGACTAATTGTGGGTTTATAGTTTGTGTGTTTAAAGACCATTGCTGGTTTTTCCCTTGTTATTTGGAGTTTCTTGTTGGCGGCAAACCAATAGCTAGCTGCATGTAGTTGCTGTAAAACAGTGGATGAGTCATTTTATTCTGAATTGTTGGACAATTCTAAGAGTTTGTGTTCATGTTATTAGTTTTATATATATATATATATATATATATATATATATATATATATATATATATTTTATGATGGACAAATTCTAGTGAACTTGTTGTAAGTTGGTGTTCTCACTTTATTATCTAAGTTATGATTTTCATTTGATTATTTTTGTCAGTATTTTTTAGTCATGGATTATTTCTTATTTGTGTATTTGTGAAGAATATGAAGAATTTTCTTGCACGTGAGAAAAATGTTTAAACAATTGTGCATTAATTAAGATGTAAGAAAAGAGTAAAAGGGAGTAGATACTGCACCTTCATTCAAATGATGGTTTTTTGGTATTTGATATCCTTATATATGCATTTTATTTAGAAGAAAAATAGCATTCTTTCCGAAGTTTATGATATTTGTTGCAAACTTTTCTTTGGTGTAAATATTTGAGTTTGTTTATTTATTTATTTTTTTTAAACAGTTTAATTATTTGATCATCAATATTGTATTCTAGGAGGCATGTGCTTATTGTTTAATATTTGGTTGCTAATCCGATAATGAGGTTTCAAATTATAATATATTTTCCATCATTCTTTTTAGCTTTTGAAAATGCTTTCAAGGAAATATTGACTAGTCTTCCCAAGCCTGGAGGTGGCGAGTTTGGAAAATTCTACAGCTTACCTGCATTAAATGATCCAAGGATTGGTATGTATTTGCTATTTACAAATTAATAGAATGATCTGTATTTATTTGTTATTTACAAATTATTCTCCTTAGCTTTAGTCTTTGTTTTATCATGCTCTGAAATTCCGAGTATGTTATAATTTCAATTTGACAATTTAAGCCATTGTTTGAATTTGCTTTTGTAAAACATATTTTCCCTTTTAAGTGTGTATGTATATATTGCAATCAGATGGCATTTAAGTATCACACATGGATTTCATGACATTGCTATTATTGTCTGCTAAGTTTTCATTTTTCATTTTATATTTGTATCTTGTGGCTCTTGCCTCGATCAGTAACTTTGCTCTTTACTTTAATCTTTTTTGGGGTACACCGCAGACAAGCTGCCATACTCTATTAGGATACTTCTGGAATCTGCTATACGTAATTGCGACAATTTCCAAGTTGCTAAGGATGATGTAGAGAAGATTGTTGATTGGGAGAATACTTCACCGAAGCAAGTTGAAATTCCCTTTAAGCCTGCCCGTGTTCTCTTACAGGTTAATAGCTTCAGCTTCATGATAATTTAATTTTTTGAGACTTGTTCCATCTTTAAGCTGTTGTTGTTGTTTAGGATTTTACTGGAGTTCCGGCTGTGGTTGACCTAGCTTGTATGCGGGATGCTATGAATAAGCTTGGCAGTGACTCTAACAAGATCAATCCCTTGGTATGTCATTTTTTCCTCGATTTGCATGTCACTTTCGATGCACAGTTGGATGCCAGCTAGTGATAATACTTTGGATATGTGTTTCTGTCCATTTTAACCTTTTGAAGGAACCTTCCTATTTGACCTATACTTTTTAATGTTCTTTTATAAATATTTTCATTTGGATTTTGTTTTTCTTGGTTGAACTGGAATTATGCTTCCAACACAGTAAAGCACGATTCCCATGGCTGACCCTAGTTTATACATTTGGCATTTTTTATTTGTTGAACTAGAATCACTGAGCCTGATTTCTGCAGCCGGCACCCGATAGTTTATGTGCTATATTATGGATGGGAACATTTGAAGTTGCACCTTTCATGGAATTGTTATCACAATCTTTTAATTGTTTCATGCATTCTAATATTGATATTGCATCCAGGTTCCAGTGGATCTTGTCATTGATCATTCAGTTCAGGTAGATGTAGCAAGATCTGAAAATGCTGTACAGGCAAACATGGACCTTGAATTCCAAAGAAACAGAGAGAGGTTTGCTTTTCTTAAATGGGGATCAACTGCTTTCCGTAATATGCTTGTCGTTCCTCCTGGTTCTGGTATCGTTCACCAGGTGAAATTTTGGTATCATTAACTAAAACAAGTATATTTTCCTATTAATGATATATATAGTGTGCTAAAAGACAACCCCTCTTGGTGCCTCATCTTTTCTATTAGATGTTATATTTGTATCTAGTGTCTAAAAGGCAGAGACTAGTGGCAAGTTGGTAGAATATTTAAGTTCATATAAGTGGTATTCCCTAAAAGCAATTCAGGCCCATGATAACATGTGTGCACTTTTTATCTCACGTGACACTTCTTGGGGCATTGTGTTGTTTGCCTAGAGCCTCCCTTACATCAATGGCTGACTGGCCGTATAAAAAAATAATAAGGAAATAGACCCGTTTGTATGTTCTGTTTTCATTTTGTCTCTTTGTAGCCTTTAGTCCTTTATTCTTTTACTATAAATTTGGTAGATTTAGCAGTAAGCAAGCCTCTCTAATAAATTTGCAGGTTAATCTGGAATACCTTGGACGGGTTGTTTTCAATACTGATGGCATTCTTTACCCTGATAGTGTGGTTGGTACTGATTCCCATACGACTATGATTGACGGTTTAGGAGTTGCTGGCTGGGGAGTTGGAGGAATTGAAGCAGAGGCAACAATGCTTGGTCAGGTATTGTGGGCATAAAACCAAATTTTCTCTATTTTTCCCTGAGTTGAATCTATTTAGTTCTAGTTTGTCCAAGCTAACAGCCTTAGATAATGGGAAAAGTTGGTAAGGCGTGACATTACATTTGAATGAATTCCATACATGCATAGTAGCCTTCTCACAGTAGACTTCATCCTCATTTCATGCATTAAGCTAGATTGAATGTTTAAATAGTTTGCTTAACATGCCATAAGTTATTCCTCTAGGAGGCAAACTTATGTGTAATTATTTAATGAATCCTGTTCTCATCCTTTTTTGTTTTTCTTTTGGAACTCATTGTATTTTCTTTCATTATTCCAGTGCATCTTTGTTCACTTTGAGGATGCACGTTCAAAGGGAAAAAATAGAAAAGCTAACTTGGTTTTTTGTAGCTTCTTATATTCAATATCATTATGCCATTCTTCATGGTCGAGTTAGCAACAGTTCTTTTTAAATATTTCAACTGGATGTTATCTGTATGTATATTTATCACTTAAGGTTCATGTCATTGGAACTGGGAACACAATCACCTGCTAACGCCTATGCACTTGTTCTTGGTAGGCAATGCATTGCAATCTCACTCTGTTTTAACTCTAATTCTGTACTTCTTCAAATTTGACAGCCCATGAGCATGGTTTTGCCTGGTGTTGTTGGATTTAAATTGTCTGGGAAATTGTGCAATGGTGTCACAGCAACTGATTTGGTCTTAACCGTAACTCAAATGTTGAGGAAACACGGTGTTGTTGGCAAGTTTGTTGAGTTTTATGGTAATGTCAGTCTTGTTATGACTGGTTGATTTGAAATTTCTATTGCCACACATCTAGTTCAATTATGTATAAGCTCTAATTTGTTTGTATATGAATATAGGTGAAGGAATGGGTGAATTGTCATTGGCTGATAGGGCCACTATTGCAAATATGTCCCCCGAGTATGGTGCAACCATGGGCTTCTTCCCTGTAGATCATGTCACATTACAGTACCTCAAATTAACTGGAAGAAGTGATGAAACTGTAAGTTTTTCTTATTTTTTATTTTTTTCGTGTTTATTATTATATTTATTTATTTATTTTTTTTTTTTGTGTGCACTGAATTCGGCTGATTCTGAATTATTATTTCTTACACTATGTTGTGACTGTCATTATTTATATAATTATCAGGTGGCAATGATTGAAGCTTATTTGCGTGCTAACAGAATGTTTGTTGACTACAGTGAGGTAAATCTTTCTTCACCTTTTTTTTCTTTCCATGTTCCTGTAAATAGTTCTTCCAAATTGGCACCCTCAGGTCTGAGGTTAATGGGATGATTTTCATGTTCCAGCCTCAACAAGCAAGAATATACTCATCTTATCTGCAGTTGGACCTAGCTGATGTTGAACCCTGTATTTCAGGACCAAAAAGGTTTGCTCTATTTACAGTTATTGTACCATAACTTTTTTTAGTTCATCTTCCTCATGTACTCTTTTAAATTCATTATTCTTTGTCTGTGTTAACAGGCCTCATGACCGAGTTCCTTTGAAAGGCATGAAGGCTGACTGGCATTTGTGTCTTGATAATAAAGTTGGATTTAAGGTGAGATGCAAAGAGCGGCTGTTGTGAATTTATCATAATTGTTGTATTCTATAATGTGATTTTGCCATTGAAAATTTTGTGCATGCAACTTTCTGTTTTTTACTTTATATATCTATATATATATTTTAATTTTTCAAGCCCCAAGAAAAGTCCCCCCTCCCCTCTCTGATGTAGATTAGGACATTTTACTTTTTTTGGGTTTGTATTGGCTGATCTTGCAAGTGATCTTGTAGTAAGTTTGCATTGAACTAAGATTTCAATAAGTGGAGAGGCTATATAGTTAGGTTCTTTGTTTATATTGTGATGTCAGGTCCATTAGTTTGTTAGTAGTTAATTTTGTAATGTTTAAAATTCATGCAGGGCTTTGCTGTAGCAAAGGAGGCACAGGACAAAGTTGTAAAGTTTTCATTTCATGGACAAGCTGCTGAGCTCAAGCATGGTAGCGTTGTCATAGCGGCTATCACAAGTTGCACAAACACGTCAAATCCTAGTGTTATGCTTGGAGCTGGTCTTGTTGCAAAGAAGGCCTGTGAATTGGGTTTAGAGGTTAGTACTGGCTTTCAAAAAATGTTCTGCGTTAAATAACTTCGTAGTATGTGGAATTGTGGATTTGCAATCGGAGTAGAAGAATCAGACTTCTGCACCTGGACTTTACCTCCAAATGAAAAATTAAACTCGGGAGCATTGTTTTTTAAAAATTACCTTTATATATTCAACAGGTTAAACCATGGGTAAAAACAAGCCTTGCCCCAGGGTCTGGAGTTGTTACAAAATATTTACTCCAGAGGTACCGGTTATGGTTTTTGGATGATATGCATTACGTGCTCAGTTTGTTTTGATTGCATACTGTGTTTATTTTGGAACTGATATTTGTCTCTGTGTTGGTGTGTATAGTGGCCTCCAAAAATATTTGAGCCAGCAGGGCTTTCATATTGTTGGCTATGGCTGCACGACATGTATCGGGAATTCTGGGGATCTTGATGAATCTGTTGCTTCTGCAATTTCAGACAATGGTATCTTTCTCATTTATTTTATGTTTCTCCTAAGTGATAAATTTGACATGGAAACTACATACTTAACCTACCAATTACTAAATTTCGGTAATGCAAGAGCTTCTAATGCAAAGGGCTTAAAATCTGTAGCTTTTGTTAACTAGGGAAAAAATGTAAAGTATGGGTAGTCTCAGTTGATTGTTCTAAATAATATGATTACATATTTGTTCACAATGATATCATAATATTAAATTCACAGCAACAGAAATTCAAATGTAAAATTCTTGGTAGGTATCATTATACCTTCAAGCCAAAGCATCGCCATTATCAAATAATCTACTCAATGTCTTAATCTAGTAATTTGGTCACATAGATGAATCCCTTTTGACAATTGCAAGGTTCCACCTTATGGTAGGATATTGTTGAATTGCAGGCTATTGTATTCACAACTTTTGATCAATGTAAAGGTGTCGTAGTACAGGTAAATTGTAATACTCCTTGCAGTGTAATCAGTGAATTAGTTTCATCAACCTGAGAGATTTCATGATGGAGAGAATGAGATGGAGTTTGGAGCCACATCTTATGCATCATTCATACCTATGCCTGGCGTAGACGCAAGTCATGCATGAAATAGATTTTTTTGAGTTTTTCCTCTATTTTAAGGAATTACATTATTTAATATTTATTTCTATAATTTCTATTTATTCCACCCTTCCCAGCTCATTTGATAATTGAAATGAAATTTCTCTGCCTAAGTTCTTTTTTATATCTGTTTTCTTCTCTATTCTCCTCTTCTTTCATCTCTCTTTTCTCTACCTGCATTAGTTCTGTACCAGGGAGTTTTGGTCCTACACCACTTCATCTTGTCGTCATTTAGAATTACCATTATGCTCTTATGGATGCATTCAGTGTTAATTTAATTCCCATTGTTACACCATGTTCTGTTTTCAATGCCAATTATTTTTTACCTTGAAGAGTGGTTGATCTTAAAAAATGTTTGATTAATGAATGATCAAACAAAGATAGTAATTAATTCTAAATTTTTTTAAAAAAAGAAAAAATTAATTCAAAAAACAATTGGATGAATTATCATTGTTCCGTTTTACACTCAAAAGTGAATATTTTCTTCAAACGATTTAGATTTAGATAGGTTCAAATATTATCAAAAGATGACATTTGGTTGTAATATGTTTTTGAAAATAGAAACTAACAAGATGTCAATTTTCATTGTGAATGTTCTGTGACCTCTCAAATATTCTGGTTTTTAATAGAATCTTAGTCCTTCATCAAAATAAACTGTGGAAATTGTTTCAAAAATCTAGTGGTATTGTTATCATATCAACTTCCATTCTTTAAAGTTTCAACTTATCTTGCGAGGAGCCAATACATATAATTGGCTTCTCTGTAATTCAACCTTTTCCCCCTCTAATGCAGCTGTGGTTCTTTTGCAGATATTGTTGCTGCTGCTGTGCTTTCTGGAAACCGAAACTTTGAGGGTCGCGTTCATCCACTGACAAGAGCTAACTATCTTGCTTCTCCTCCACTAGTTGTAGCTTATGCACTTGCTGGAACGGTATGTATACAAATTTTTAGTGTACGTTTCATTTTTTATCCTTCTGCCTTACATTTTATTTCCCAATGTCAGAAAGGATGATCATGTTGTGAATGGAAAAGAAAAAATTCCAAATTGAAATTAAGATCTACTATCAACATTGTGTATGTGTCTCTTCAAATTGAATCATTTCTTGCAGTATAAAGATATAGGTGGGGGCCTTGGTCAAATTGCCTCAGTCCATTCAAATTCATTTTTTGATACCCTTCTTAATTGCCTCAGTCCTTCGGTACCTCATGGGTGACAATGCCAATGTCCCTTCATTTTTTGCATCTAGACAAGGACATTGGTTATGTTTGATGCACTTCTTAATAAGTTAATACCCCTGCTGTTGTTCTGCTTCTGAATTCAATGGAACATTCTCTGTTATGTTTTAGTAGCCAATACTTTTGTATAATTGTAACATATCCATCGGCCTTTTGAAGTTTCACAAGCTCTAAGAAGTTCTGCTTGCTTTTATATATATATATATATATATATATGTATATAAAATAAATAAAATAAAATAAATAAAAAAAAACCGAAACATATAAACAAGGGCAATACTGGTGCATGGAGCTCATGCTTCGTGCTTAATTATTAAACTTCTGAATTCTCATTTTCCAGGTTGACATTGACTTCGAAAAGGAGCCAATTGGAACTGGGAAGGATGGTAAGAGTGTATACTTCAAGGATATCTGGCCCAGTAACGAGGAAATTGCAGAGGTAGAATGTTTAGGATAGTTTTTATGTAATTACTTTTAAGTCATGATTATTTGATTATTAGACTCAAACTCTAATTTAAACTTATGCTGTTTTAGGTGGTTCAATCTAGTGTACTTCCAGATATGTTTAAGAGCACTTATGAGGCTATCACAAAGGGCAACCCAACGTGGAATCAACTATCTGTCCCGACTGCCAGTCTTTATGCTTGGGATCCAAACTCAACCTACATTCATGAACCCCCGTACTTCAAGGATATGAATATGGACCCACCAGGACCTCATGGAGTGAAGGATGCCTACTGCTTGCTCAATTTTGGTGACAGTATAACGACGGATCATATTTCTCCAGCAGGAAGTATCCACAGGGACAGTCCCGCTGCCAAGTACCTCCTTGAGTGTGGGGTTGACCGCAAGGACTTCAATTCCTATGGTAGCCGTCGTGGCAATGATGAAGTGATGGCAAGGGGAACCTTTGCAAACATTCGCATTGTGAACAAGCTCTTGAATGGAGAAGTGGGCCCAAAGACCATTCATATTCCAACTGGAGAGAAGCTTTATGTGTTTGATGCAGCAATGGTGAGTTCCATAATATCAAGTATTTCAACTTTCCCCTCTTTATTGAAATTGCATATGAAGTCACATGCATTGTAATGTAACATCTCACTAGTAAGTTTCTTTCTCCGTTTTGTTTTCATATGATTTAGTGGTTTATATGATGTCACTAAACCTCTCGCAGATTTTTCCAATAAACAAAATTTTGATTTTCTGTCAATAGGCACATTGTAGAAGAATTGATTAGGATGCTGCTTTCTTTTGTAAAATTAGCCCCTTACATATATGTTTGCCAAAGCAGAGAAATTAGGAGATAATTGAAGCCTCCAAAATCACAACTAGTTGGGAAGTGGAAAATACATGGCTCCAATAGGCATCTTCTATTTTCTTGGCGGATGGATCTTTAGTGCTTAATGAATTAAAAAGTTTTTTTATTTGAGTTTGTAACTTTGAATCAAATATTGTCTCACTAATATCCGTCTGTTTGCCGTGATGGCAGACGAAATGAAGCAAATGGAATTATAATAAAGTTGGTTCAAACTGATAGTTTCAAGATTGCAAATTCTTTTTCCTGTCATCGCATCAAATGAAGCTCTAGTGAGAATGCCATCTGCATCTATATATTCATCTTTGTGCAAACATGGAATCCAGTCAACTAGGATTCATCCCTAAAAAAAGGAAGAAAGAAATTCAACAAGCAGAGAAACTGTCTCTTTTCAGTAATTAGAGAAATTGTCTATTGTTATTGTGCAGGATCTGCAATCAGTATACTCATGTCAAAAGAAAAAAAATCTTCCATTTTATTTTCTTTAAACTGTAAGGTTTGAAATTATACCAGTGTTTCCCCCTAATTGAGTGATTGGATGATTCTTAGATTATGAATTTCATTGGATTCTATCCACACTTCATGAACTGAGTATTGCACGCTCTTCAACTTGCCATTTCTGTTGCTGATGTTTCTCCCTCTCTATTTTTCTATTTTGTGTTTGCGGAAGGGGGGGCGGGGGTTGATGAGTAGTTTCAATACATTTCTCTATTATTGAGTGCTGAACATGATGTCATCCGAATGCAGCGGTACAAGGCTGCTGGACAAGGCACCATTGTTCTGGCTGGAGCAGAATATGGAAGTGGTAGTTCTCGAGACTGGGCTGCCAAGGGCCCAATGCTACTGGTGAGTGGTGATGCTTGTCTCTCGGCACTATATGATGGTGTACTGTGGTTGGCATTCTGATATTTCATCACTTTGTAACATATTTTTGTCAGGGAGTGAAAGCTGTCATTGCCAAGAGCTTCGAGAGAATTCATCGTAGTAACCTGGTTGGAATGGGCATCGTTCCTCTTTGTTTCAAGCCTGGTGAGGATGCAGATACACTAGGTCTGACTGGTCATGAGCGTTACACCATAGACCTTCCAAGCAAAGTTAGTGAGATAAGGCCCGGCCAAGATGTTACTGTGAAAACTGACACTGGCAAGTCTTTCACATGTACAGCCCGTTTCGACACAGAGGTAGAGGCCACATTCTTTCTTGACCATTATTTCCTTTCTCTTTTTCTCTTATCGTTAGTGGTTCAAGTTGGTAAAATTCTCCTCTTTGACTTTCTGGATTTCAACATGCTGTCTGAGTCTTGGCAGCCCGAGCTTTTAACATTTACACCTTTATTCGCGTGAAGATAATATTTCGTTAGAAAGGCTTGTTTGGTGCTTTGATGTCATCTATTCGTTTGGCTCAGATATTCTAATTCCACTCGATTGCATCTGCAGGTCGAGTTGGCATATTTTGATCATGGTGGCATCCTTCCATACGTCATTCGGAATCTGATTAAACAGTAAATTGTTGAGCTTTTGGACCAAGAGTCTACTACTCTTCTATTTGGATAGTTTAACAGCAACATGGAAATCACTATCCATGGGGAAACTAAATCTCACTACATTCCCAAACTTCTGGAATTTATACTACTACAATAAATTGTTTTCAATAAAAGTGGAAAATTTATGTTTTCCTCTCCGAGTCTGCTTTTCACTTTTCAGTAAGATGGAAGAGTGTCATTTATAGTTCTTACCTGTCCAGTGTAGAAAATAGACAATTGCAATTGATCTAGGGCAAGGCAGACTTAGCTGCCTTACACAATTGTAATTTGTTATTCTCGGTCTGTAATTTAATTCTGAACATTTATTCCATTTTGTTTAATTTACATGATTATTATTGTTTTTAGTTCTATTTATTTATTAGAGGGTGTATTCGGTCTCATGGAATTGAATAAAATTGGAATTGGTGAAATTGGAGAAAAGAAACTAAAAAAATGTTTTTTAACAATTTCACTGGCCAACACAACCAAAGTTTTCTGTATTATACCCTACTAATCTCTCTCATTTTAAGAGAGAATTCTGATTCCATGGTCTCTTTCATTGCACCAAATGAAGGAGGAGAAAATAGAGAGGAGATATTTTTTGAAGGACAAATAACTTCTATTCTCATCCTAACTTCGGGGGGAAAATTAAGTTTAAAAATAAACGGATTTTTGCATTTCTCAAACAATTTTTTTTTTAACTAATAAAATGATAATTGGATGGATGAGTGCAAGACTACTTTATTTATAATGATAATTAAAGTTGTTATATATATATATATATATATATATATATATATATATATATATATATATTACAGCTGTTTTTAAAAAATATATAATTTTGAAAAATAGCCGTTTTTTTTTAAATTTTATTTTACATGTGATACAGGCCACACCGTGTGGTATAAAATAGATAAAAAGTAGGGATTTTTACCATGGGCTTAAGGCCCAAATATTACAATATAATGAAATCAAACGTGGGCTACAACTAGAAAATGAGGGGATTACACAAACTACTTCTTAAAAATGAAAAATGGAGAGACCACAAGAACTATTTCTATAAAATGAACCGAAATTCTACTTTGGACTACATAACAATCTATATTACTATAATGACCCAAACTATATATTATTATATCATAAAAGCTTTAAAACGTGGAATAAACTTATGGAAAGATCTTTGAACAAACTATTTAATATTTTTTAAGTTTTTCACAATAAATTAAAATTTCACAGTAGATTAGTACGGACTTTAAGACTTCTTTAGACAAAATATCTTATATAAAACTTAAATTTAACGAAACAGTAGTAGCTCTAATACCAAAATTAAATTCAATCGAACCGGATAGAAGTATGCAATAACATAGAGATAAAATTAATAATTAAATCACAGAAATAACTGCCGAATCTGATAATGCTCTAATAACGCCCTATAAAAACGCTTGAATACCGGTAAGAACGGGCCAACAAGCTAACAATTCGATTCAATTCACAGAAGAAATTACTAAATTAAAACTAAGGCTGCTTGTACTGGTTGGATTCAAGAAAATTCTAGGATCTACACTGTCTGGCTAAATAAAATCTATATATTTGATCTTTTTGTCAACCGAAGTCTTTTGCCTAAAAGTACTGAAAATACTAAATAAGGAAAAGGAATTTTTGAGTAAAAGCAAGCTGGATGATTTATTTTATGGGAAATATATACATGAATACACACTGTTTATACATGGATACACTCTCACACAATATTTTACAAAAAGAAACACACTGAAAGAAATCACACTAGGAAACTATGGCTGAAGGCTGGAATGCTTGATGGCTCTTAACTTGATTGCTCTAAAACTCGATGATCTTCTCTTGAGTTGAAGGTCTCCTTTTATAGAGTAATCTGAAAGATAGCTCAACGCTTGAGATTGCAGATGCGGCATAGATGGCTGAGATGTAAGATACCTTGGAGATAAGGTTCATTGAATTATTGTGGGACATCCTTATCTTTACTTTTGTCTTTAGAATTTGCTTTCGGTGGATCTTGGCTATTTTTATTATGGGTTTAAAACATCTTCCAGTAATACAGTCAATAAAGGAAATCCATCTTTTTGCAGACATCCTCTGTTGCTTTGCTTTGTTTACAAATTTAACTATATTATCGCAATCTGTTCTTATAAGAAATTATTTATTAAGGAATATCTGAAATTTTTTAATAGAATTTGTTACTCCAAAAATTTCTAGATCTGTTGATGGTAAAGTAGATTGTACTTTATTAAAGGTTCCACTAGCATGGTGACAAATTTGTTCTTCTTCTCGAGAAGATTCTTTTATAGGTCTGTGAAGAAGTAAACCTGCCCATCCTTGTGCTGATGCATCTATTTGAATTATTTTGTAACTATTTTCAAGTAATAGTTGTAAGGGTTCTAACTGAGTGACCAAAGATTTAATTTTCTTAACTAATTCTATGTCTTGAGTATTAAAATATTTTTGACCATTTTTTCCTAATTTAGAATATAATGGTCCTACTAATTGTCCTAATTTTGGAATAAAATTGTGACCGTAATTTAATAATCCTAAGAATGCTTCTAATAACTTGGTTTCTTCTAATTTATCAGGAAAATCTAAAATCTTTTGCACAATATGTGATTGTAATTCTACTTTTCCTTTTTTTATATACAAGCCTAAGACATCGATATCTTGGTTTTTCTAATATCATCTTTTTACTACTTATAATGAGTTCTTAAGTTATAAATTCATTTAGTATAATTTCAATATGTTTTCTATGTTCTTCCTTAGTTTGACTAAAGATTAGAATATCATTTATGTAAACACAACAGAATTTTGAATGTTTATTGAATATGGTATCCATTTTTTGTTGGAACTCTTGTGGCGCATTCTTTAATCCAAAAGGCATAACAAAACATTCATAATGTCCTTCATGACATGTGAATGCGGTCCATTTAATGGATTCATTAGCCATACGGATTTGCCAAAATCCTGATTTGCAGTCAAATTTAGAGAACCATTTTCTATCTTGTATTTGATTTATTAAAACATCTTTATTAGGAATTTTATAGCTGTCATCATAAATATTATCGTTAATTCTTTTATAATTTATAACCATACGAGTTTTTCCTCTTTTTATTTCTGCATGATTTCTAACCATAAAAGCTGGACTCCTATGTCTACTATTATTTTTTCGTATTACCTTTAGTAATAGAAGTTTTTGATTTGTTTTTGGAACTCTTCTTGATCGTCAAGGGTATGGGGATTATCTTGAGTTTTTATAGTTAAGAAATGATTTATTATATTTAATTTTGCTTCGATTTTATTTTTATACCAATATTTTTGGGGATCTTCTTCTAAAATCTCAGTGGTTTCAACTAATCTTAAAAGATTATCTATATTTAATTTAAGATTTTTTAATATAGCTTTATTATTAAGGAAAATCTTTGGTTCATCTAGATGACTAAGAAACGTTAATACTTCAGAAATATTTTCTAAAAATTCGGTTACATCAAATAAGTTTTCTATAGTTTCCTCTGTCATAGGTAAAGTATTGACATAAGTAATAACTCATTTTTCTTTTTGAGTAATATAAGGAGGGTTGGATGGAATAAATGTTCCTTTTTAAAAAAACTGTAAACTCGTAGGGGTATATATAAATCATCTAGTGAGTGAATTTATAAAATTTAATCATAAAATAAAATCATAAGTATTAGTAATATTATTAACTACATAAGTTTGCGGTAAAATAAACTTTTTGTTATTAATTAATATAGGAATATTTTGAACACAATAAGTTATTAGGAGTTTTTTATTATTATATTGACTCATATTAACATTATAGTTTAACTTTATCAAATATTTTTCAGGCACTAAATGCTTTTGAATTATACTTTTAGATGCTCCAGTATCTAACATTGCTAAGGTTTGAACTAATTTTTCTTTAAATTCTAATGTTACCGAAAATTGAATAAGACTAGATAGTTTGTATATTGAATTTATAAATTCGACTATAATATCTTCTTACTTATCTTCATATTTTGTATAATAGTCATGGCATAATAAAGTTTTGCAATGGTTTTCACAGTAATGACCTTCTTTGATAAATGTATTACATTGTTTACAATTATAAGATGAAAAATGAAAATTAACTAAATTTTATTGACATGATGGATTGCTTATAGTGTAGACGAAATCTTCCATTGAATGGAGACCTTGGTCAAAGTCTTCCTCATTATCGAAATCGCTGTCTATACTTTCAATACTATATATACTTTCATTGTCATCTTCGGAATCATAAATACTTTCTAGTTCATATAATTATTCTATCTGTTATTCAATATCTTCAAGTATATTGATCTTTTCTTGTATCCTTTTGATAGGATTCTGTTTGTATCTATAAGAACAATTTGGTCTTATATGTCCTGAATCTCCACAAATAAAGCATTTGCAATTTCGTTCTTTAGTGGGTAATGTATTTACTTTATTATCCTTGTTATCTTTACTATCCTTTTTATTATTATCTTTATTTATTTTTTGTCTTTTATACCAAAGCCGCTTTCGGAATTGTTTGGGATTATTTTTAAAATAAGGTTTTTTATTACAATAATTCTTGTAGGTCTTAGTTTTGCGTAGATTATATTTTTTAGGTTTATTACGCTTATAATTATAATTTTTCTGAGCCATACAACCATATTGTGGTGGAAAGTCTATTTGCCTACAAGTATGATAAAATTGTTTTTTGATTTGTTTAGATTCTTTACGTTGTTTACATTCTTCTTTTAATATATTATAAACATGATTAACTCTATCTCCTATGGTTAACCTATCTCTTCTGGAATTTTCTAACTATTTTTTCCATATTTTAGTTTCTACACTTCCTGGTAATTTCTGAAGATACCTATCGAGTAATGTTCTGTTTCTTGTTTTACCAGTGGCTGCGAAATACTCAAAAAATTTATTTGTATAATCTCTTATATATCGAAAATCACAAATATGTAGTAATTCTAGATTACGTAAAGCTTCATTTTGCTTTATAAGGGTTTCATCTAATAATCTATCATCGCCAACTAACACATTTTTTATTAGGCTGGTAAAACTTTGAATTGTAAAATTATTACGTAAGAGGGCATAATCATTGGGATAAGTTACTTTGTAAGATTGCCACCAGTCATGGATGGTTCCCCTTAATAAAGTTTCACAATAAGTTAAGGCCTGAGTTTTATTATCAAAATTAGTTAGAATGGATTGCATAATACAATCTTGTTTCTAATTTTCGATTACTTTTGCCCAATCTTGGGGATCATGTCATGCTATGTCTAATATTGTTCCTGCTTGTTGCGCTGGTATATTATCGTAATGTCTACGATTTTGTGTCCATGTGTACATATCTGGTATATTTCTATTTTCTATGTAGGTTTCTTGTGTTGGATTTAACCTTTGTCCAGTGGTATAGTCGTTATTTATGGTATTAGTACTACTTATGGCATTAGTCTTTCTTTGGTCAGTTATTTCTTAGTCAACTGACTGAGACGTTGATCTTTCTGGTTCTTTTCCTTTTCTATGTTCTACTACATTCAACTCTTCTTTTAATGTGTTTAACTCATATGCTGTATAGAAGGATTCAAGTCCTATGTTTAGAATATTTTTCTTAATATTATCGTTATTTTCTTGTCCTAGGTAAATAATTTCTATAAATTTGTATTTAGGTTCTGGATACTTGTCTTGCAAGGCTTCTAATTGTAAATTATCAAAACCGTTCATTATTTTATCTAGAATTTCATCTTCTAGTCTATCATAAAGGACATTTATTTCTTCAGGAGATTCTATTTATACTAAAGTAGTTAAAAATTCTTCTTCGATATCATCTGTTAAATTATCTTGTCTTTTATAGTTACTAAACCTTATACTAGCTTCTCCATTATGTTTTACATATATCATATTGTTTTCGGGAACTTTTTTGGTTGTTTTAGTAAGATTTGGCAATTCCCATTCAGTTCCTTCATGAATTATACTACTTACTTTTCTAGTCTCTATCATCTGGACATATTTGCTACTAAAAGGTTTAACTATTTCACTGAATTGAGCTTTGAACTTTAAATTATATTGATTAACTGTTTTTCCTATGAATAAAGTATTAATTAATAAGTTTTTATACTGTCCGGTCATATTATATCCTTTTATGGATATAGCTATTTTTATATGTTTACTAAATTCTCTAATGGTCATTGTGAAATTAGGAATACATCCTATAATGGCTGTGTTGGCTGCTAGATCTATTTCAGCGCTAACTATTTGTGTTTGTTGATGGTTTTTCCATCGATCATCATAAATATATGCGAGTGCTCTGGTTCCTACTTCTGATCTATTTAATCCTACTATTCCGATCATTATTACACCTAAGTACATAAGCTCTAAATTACTTTTTTCCTGCTCTTGACAAGTCTCTAGCGTTTTGAGATCTAAAATTACCTGGTTATTTACTACACTTATCCTTCGCTGGCTAAGATGATTGTATATCTTGCTTTGGAAATTTAATAAATTATTAGAATAAAAATTAACTTTATTGGATACTTTCTTCATTCCTTTTTCGATATATTTTTGAGCATCGTGTTCATTATCATATAGATCTTCTACCCTCATTATTTCTTTGTATTTTCGAAGGACAATGGCCATTCTCTATGTGGTTGTAAAAGATTTACACGCTTGGTGGTTTTAGTCGAGAAGTAATTAGTTGATAACTTTAAATCTTTTATTTTATCTGATAATTCAAATAATTCTTTAGAAGATTCTCTGAGAATACTTTCTTGTATTACTTCTAATTTTTCTTTAAGTTTGTTAATTTTTTCAGATAACTGGAGTAATAACTGGATGAAAAAGTTATTTTGTCTAATATTTATATTAGTTGATTGTATGTCAGTTTTAAAACTTGTAAATCCTATAGGGTCTTTGTCAATTTTATAAAGTTCGGCTAAAGCTGCTAGATAATCAGGATTACTAGTGCTCATAAAACTATTGTAATAGTCTTTGGATATCGGTTTTTAAAGATTTTAAATATTCTATAGTTATTTTTTTATTTTCTAAAATGTTTTTAATATCACTGCTTATGTCTTTAATAGCGACTGATATTATTTTGTTATCTAAATTATGTGGACTAGAATTCTGGTCTATTTGGGTTTTAATATAATCTAGATTTTCTTCTAGTCATTTTATAGAGTTATCTAAGTTATTAAATTCTATTCTACCCATAAACCTAAAATCTTTGTCTTCTTCCTTCTAGAATAATCTGTATAAAAATAATTCTAAATCTAAATTTTTCTATCCTTCGTTGTAGGTTACGTGTTGTATTATCGGTTTGTGAAATGTAACAGTTTCTTAGTGCTATTCGGCAAAATTCTAGAATTTCTAAAAGTTTTTCTTTGAGTAAGTTGTACATAAAATAAACTTTAGAACTAAAAATATAATTTTAACTTAGAAAACGATTCAAAATGAATGTCTTCACTTTTGATTTATGATCCAGTAAATATGCAATAATTTAGTAATAAAGTTTTGCTACCCACCACTTACATGTAAAAGTCCCTCAAAAGTAGTAAATCTAATAGAAGGTAAAGGAATTAAAATATACTTATAATAATAGCAATTTGTTGGATGCCAGCCAAAAAGTACAGAATCCATACTCATTTAATCTCAACCGTCAATTATAACTAACTGACTTTAGATTAACGCTAAAAATAAAATAAAATAATATTTGTGGCCAAGACGCCACCGCCTCGGACATATATAATGACCCACGAGACTGCTAAATTTCACATTGTGATTTCGTGTTCTCTTCGCAGGTTCTCGTTAAGAAGTCGGTTACCTTTTTAACTAAGGTAACTCCTTAGCCCTAGCTGTTCCATCGATTCTTGTAGATTCTCTTGTTTGAAGCCTGTTGTACATGTTTCGATTTATGAATTTGATCTGATCATAAATGTTTACGATTGTTTCTCTGGGTATTTGATCATCTACTTCTAGTTGATTGTTTGAAGATTTTTGGGTGTTGGGTTTTGTGAATTATGTTTTTTTATTTTATTTTATTACATATTGTATTCATATCTTGAACTTGATAATGATATCACCTGATTTTCGTTTTTTTATAGTCTTCATTCGTTTCAGTGGAATTTAATATATTTTTTTGGTGGATTTTCTTCCCTCTCATAGGATTCATATAATCTTGAATATCTTGTTCGAATTTTTCATCAATATTGATTCTTAGATTCTTGAAATCTTCTATTCAAGAAACAAAAACACGTTTTCTTCAATTTAGCTAGGTTAATGGTCTAGTTCGGAATTTTTCATTAAAATTTCAATGGTTCCAATCAATTTAAGGGACATGAAAGATGGACTAATTTATTATTATTATTATTATTATTATTATTATTATTATTATTATTATTCAGGTAAATCTTTTCTATTTAAAGAAAAATTGGTGCCTAAAGTTTTCTTTTATTCTGACCCTGTTGTTGTTGTTGCTAGGTGGGTTCAAACTATTATTGATCTTAGTCCAAAGACATACCTAGGGAATGGATAAGAATGGATTTGAATTTGATACTTATTCTTAATTTCTTAATTTATGCTTTCTTTGTGTAGTGAAAACTGAGAAGTATCACACAAATTGGCTAGCATCAGTAGAAAACTAACATAATCTAAATAAATGCAGAATTGCTAATTTTCCATTACCGTTTTATTGATAGATATGCATTCGTATCTGTAGAACATGCATCAATTTTTACTGGTACCTGCATTTGACTCCTTTCTTTCCAGCTGTTCACAAAATAAACAGCACCAGAATATCATGAATCAATTTGAATTATTTGCGATGATATGTACATGTTACCAAGAGTTTTGTTCTAGTGGCATCACGACTACCTTCCAAATGGAAGGTTGAGTGGTGAAATCTTCATAATGGGCAATTGTGGCTTGACCAACTTAAAACTCCCCTCACAAAAAAAATATGGTTAATGACTTTTTTTTCTTTCTCTTATGCAGTTTCTTATCAAACAGAAGTACATATATGGTTGATATCGACGTACAGATCCCTACCACTTTTGGTAAGTGTTATTTCAGTTTCTGCAACCCTGGGACAAATTTTCAGTATTAGCTGTCTGTAATTGTTGGAAGCGTTTTTCTTTGAGGGCTTATCATTGTCATGACATGTTTGCAGATCCATTTGCTGAGGCCAAGGACTCGGGTGCCCCGGGAGCAAAGGAGTATGTTCATATTCGCATCCAACAGAGGAATGGAAGGAAAAGCCTGACTACGGTGCAAGGGCTGAAGAAAGAGTTCAGCTATGAAAAAATCCTGAAGGATCTCAAAAAGGAATTCTGCTGTAACGGGAATGTTGTGCAGGACAAAGAGCTTGGCAAGGTAGCAAGAAGAAGCAATTGCCATGTCAGATGTATTTTGCTTTTTAACTTGACCTCCATCTTACACAAGTTTGTGTTGTTGTTGTGTAGGTTATTCAACTGCAAGGTGATCAGCGGAAGAACGCTTCCAGTTTCCTTGTTCAGGTAATACCCCTTTTAGCAACACACTAATTTTGGGATGTATTTCTAGTGTTTTTTGCATGGCTTGTACTGAATATCGCCGCTGCTGTGGTGTGTTATTACAGGCCGGGATTGTGAAGAAGGATCAGATCAAAATACATGGTTTCTAAGGCAAAGATCTGTCGGCATTAAGAAAGATAATATTTGGTCTAGTTTGGCTTTTATTATGCGGGGATCATAGAGACTTACGACTATATTTGTGGTCTGCCTTAATTAGGATATAGTTCGTCTGTACTTTTAATCGCTTCTCTTTGCCTTTGGCTTGCTTGGACATGGCAATTCTAGTACAATGTCTCTCTATTGGTAATAAAATAAAATGTTTTTTGCGGAAATGAGAATCTGTGTGCGTGTGCATGGGTTTATTTATTGAATGTGATGGTGATGGATGTGGTGGGTTCTCGACACACTTTTTCTTGCTAAATCGGTCATTTTTTTTTTTTTTTGGGTGAGGCAGAGTTACTTTCTGATCTTACGTTTCACTGCCATACCTCGTTGGAACTTTATACATATCCTTTATTGGTGGAACTTTGCCGTGCCGTTCGGTACCAAGTCCCAATTGGTCTTTCGTTTGAAGAAGGAATTTCTATTTATTTATTTTGAGGCCATGCAGGAACATGATTTGAATCTGTGAGGATCATGGTTATGTGTACTGAGAAACCATTATGCACATTTTAGCTCATTGAAGTCCGACACATAATGATTAATAAATTGTCCAATCTCTCTCGTCTCTTCCCCTTTCTGCTAGGGTTTCTGAACAAAGCCTTTCCCTTTTCTTATCAGAGAGTGTGGTTTCGCCGGCGAATCTCACTCATCCATCTCACGCTTCAACGATCTCGAGATTCCATGGTTTTAGGGAGCGAGAGAGTTTTCGTGAGAGATGTTGAACCAAGTTTCAACTTGTTCCTCGCTATGTTAGGTTCTCTGTTCATCAGAGTTGGGGTTGTATATAAGAAGGTGTGGTTTTTCTGAGATGGCTTCCATCTCTTCTCTTGTCCGTCGCTCTTGTCGATTGTCTGGCTGGAGGGGTGCCTTTGAGCGGCGGCTTGTTCATTTAGGGATTTTGTGCCTTGGCAGACTCGCTACCCGATTTCTGCCGCTATTTCCTTTTGATCCGGGTGGCTGGCGGTGGATCTCTCCGGCTGATCTTTTCGGGAACCTCCTTGTAGGGAGCACTTGGATATGGAGTGTGGATCTACCACCTCTGCGTTTTACGCCAGCGTTCGATGTTATTGGTGTTCGAGAGAACGTGATCGGCGGTTCCTGGATGGGTCGGCTATGGTGGTCGGCATGTGCTCTTTGGGAGGCCGACATTGTGACGTATGGCTGATGTTTGGGTAAGCTATTTTCACTTATATATTTTGCTTGTTGTGGGCCCCAAAATTTATTTTTTATTCTTCTAGAAAGTCCCAAATCCTTTCTGTCCTTTGTTTTTCAGATAGCTTGTTGGTGCTAGTAGTCCTATCAATACTAACACTATTGGTTATTGTCGAGACTGTGATCTTAACATGGGTGTTAGATTTGTTCTTGCTAGCTTTTGTTCTTTGTGGTTCTTGTTATGTATGTGGTGATTGGTCCTTGTTTGTAGATGTCGTATAGCGATTTTCTTGTCAGGGTAAAAAATAATAATAATAAAAATAAATGCAATAGACAAGAATAGTCTAGTCGTCTCTTCTTTGTTTAAATCAATAATTGACCTATTGACTATTAATCTATGCTCTTTCACCATGTACATACTTTAAAAAAATTGTTAAACTGTCTTGGATCATTTATACTTGGTGGACCAGTTCAATCTCATGATCTTTTCAATAAATAATAATAAACAAAATTTATTCTCGGTCACAAAAATACATTCATGTTATGTTCAATTACACGAAATTGATGTCTACAAATTGAATTGGACAAAATATAATTCAAATTTTATATTAATTTTTCTCCAATTTCAATTTTAAGATACGAATTCAATGCAACTGAAAATGCACTCTGAACAAATTTTATAGTTAAAATCATGAGATTATAACTCTTAAACAGTTGAACCATTTTCAGAGTTCTGTTGTAGTTATATATACGTCCAGTATCATTTTATAGGTTGCAATTTGGGGTGACAATTCCTATTTGCTAGTCGTGTTCGTGTCGTGTCAATATAAAAGTATTATACTAAATAGGTAAACCCAAACCCAACCCATTTAATAATCGTGTCAAGATCCTCAACACTAACCTAACTCGTTTATTAAATAGGTAAACGTGTTAACCCGTTTAATGACTTGTTTATCAAATCGAGACGTTTAATATTTAATCAAATATTAAATAATAGAAAAAAAAAATTGTCCTAATTAACCCAAATATTAAAAATAAAAAGAAAAATCATAAGGCATAGATAAAATTTATGTTGAAATGACCTAACTATCCATAGTAATTGGGTTTAAACAGGTAACATATTACATAGGTCATTATGGTTGTATTCACAATTATAATATGTTGAGTTAAATGAGTCATAAACAGGTTACACGGGTTGAACTTCTCAACCCTAACCCGACACAGTTAAGTAAACGGGTTAATCATGTTGACCCTTTTATGACCCAAACCCGTTTATGCCAAACCCAAATCCTTTTAACTCGAGTCGTGTTGTAATTTGCTACCCATAGTTGCAATCAAGCTTGGTGAACCTCAGCGGCATTGACTGGATCGCATAAGAGATTTTCACCGCCACTGAATTAATTATCAGCAGTCTCATTGTTGCATCGAGTAACAGGAAAGCATCATGGTACATCCCTTGTATTCAAACCAAAAATCTTGCCATTTGATCATATGATCAGTAATCTATGGTGATAGGTAATGCATACTTGTACTGGTGGTTGTTTTGCGCACGCTTGTAATTTGATCAAGACAATTTTTTACACCAAGATTCATCCTGGAAAAGAACAAATGACAAGCAACCATCCGTCTATCTTTTTTCTTGTTTCTTACTTTTTCCGTGTCCTCCAACCTCTCTGGATTAATGAAAATAGGGTCAGAGCCGTGAAACTCCAACCTTGGCTACGACCAGTGAAACCATCCCAAGCTCTGTAAAGGTGTTGCAACAGAATACTACTACAAGTCTACAATGTAGAAGCATGTGTAGACAGCTACATTCAGACTCCTCAATTTAGATAGAGGGAGCAAATGAACAAGAATATGAGAGAGAGAGAGAGAGGACAACAAATTAATATGGCATTAGTTCATTAGTTCTGCATAAGTCTGGCAATCTTACTTATTAACAATCCAAACTAACAGCCTCAAAGCTTCCAAGGGCAAGCACTCAGATCTGAGTTGTTGATTATACAATTGTTGGAAAAAAAAGATTGCTTCATGAGACAGGCTCAAGCTTTTGGGCTTCCTTCGAGAAACATAAAAAAATCTCCTGGAGTTTCACAAATACAACACTAATGTCAACTGTAGTACTAGAAAAGCTTGCCTGGCTGTGTGGTTCCGCTTCTCATCATTGCACAGAACTCTTCATAGTTGATTCTCCCATCCTGCAGGTTCAATAGATATGAGTACAGGTGCATCATAGCATCGTAGATCGCTTTAAGCTTTTAAGTTTCCAAATTAAGAAAACAACTCACATTATCTGTGTCTACTTCTGATATTATATCCTTGATGGTAGCTTCATCACCCATTCCATAGTCTTTCATAGAATTTTCTAACTCATCCATTGTGATATACCTGAAATGAGATAACGAAATTTAAAGCTTCAATGACTTGGATCATTCAGTCCTACATACTGAAGTGTTTAACCCATCAATCCTTGGAGAGTTCCCTCCGTATGCGTCAAAATTCAAATCGACTGATCCCATCACCTAAAGCCTGGTCTGAGAAAACTAAATTTCAGGACAGTCAGCTGCTCATCTAAGACCTGAAGCAATGGACTCTTTATAGTTCCCAACCATGTTTATATCTGTCTAACTTGGCATACAAATGCCAATATGGCAAATATCTATACAAACACAAGAAGATCCTAAAAGCCTAATTTGTGACAAAAGACACGATAACCAACCTATGAATAATTCACTCTTACAAGTAGGAAAAAATATAGAAGATTAAATAAAATTGTAATGGAAGGGTAAGTCATTCATTATATGACGAGGATGCCTAAAAGTAAGAGAGAATTTCAGTTCTCTATTCTTAAAATTAAGAGAGATTATAATCTTTATACTAGCATTGTGTAAATGTCATGTGAGATTTAAATTACCCAAAAAGGGAAATCGAGTTTACAGTTCCATGTCATGATAGATTTATTTGGTAAATAGGCAGAGCATGGAGTTTTAGATATTCCTTTCATAGATGATAAAGAAAAAATTAAATGAATACTCACCCACTGTTATCCTTGTCAAAATACTGAAAGGCTTTGTAAAGGTCCTCATCTCTTTCTAGTTTGTGTCTATGCATTGTAGCAGTGATGAACTCAATGTAGTCAATTGTTCCATTTCCATCCACGTCAGCCTGAAATGTAACGTCAATTATTCTAAAGTTATATGAAGCAAGAGTACACAAAGAAATTATATATCTCCAGAGATTTTGCAATTTTAAAATTCAATGAATCTTACTGCTTCCATGAGTTGCTTTACTTCAGCCTCTGTGAGCTTCGACCCAAGTCGAGCCAATCCTGTCTTAAGCTCCTCATAGGTGATTGTTCCACTGTTGTCAGTGTCCATGTTTGTAAACATTGCTTTTAGTCCTTGAATTTCTTCATCAGAGAGACTTTCCGCAATAACCTAGGGGTTTCCAAATCAACCAATTTTTAGGAAAAAAGAAAAATATTTGGACCATTATTTAGCTAAATATGGTAAAAAAACATGGGTGCATTTTTTTAAAAGAAAATCAATGGCAACTGAGATGAATGTAAACCCTCCCATCAAGAGTATCATGCTCAACATGAGTCCATCCGCTATGTGAGTGGGGTCCAAATGAGAGGGAGACGGCAGCCAAAGCTAGGGGAAGAAAGAGAGACTCAAAGAACCTCATAAGGATATACAGATGAAATGGAAGCTGAGACAATTTTAAATTTACTGTGGAGTAAAAGTATGATTTCAGTGTATTCATTCTGTCACGGTTTCATGAAAGGTAAAAATGTATACTGGCTGCATCTACCATGTAACCATAAAACTTGGAGGTGCTGGCCAATTACAGTACTTCCTTCCCTTAAGTATGGACGGTTGATGAATCCGATTGATACCATCATATTATTGTTCTGAGCTAAAATACAAGAGAAGTTGATTTGAAGATATACCTTAAGAGCAAGTTTCTTGAGTTTGTTCATCGCTCGGAATTGCTTCATCCTAGAGAGGACTGCACTGTCTATTGGCTTGTCTGATGCCTTTCCATCTCTAATCCATGGGTGCTCTGAAACATAACATACTGGTCATTAAAATATATTATATTGAAAAAAGTTCTCTCTCTCTCTCTGTCTCTTCAATCTAATACTTTTTTTTTTTAACTTGATTCTTTAGAAATATTTTCTAATTCTGATGACTAAATTCTACCTTAACCAACGATTTACTAATTCAGTTTGTGCCTTCTTCTTCTTCTTCTTCTTCTTCTTCTACTTCTTTTATTTTATTTTTATATTATTTAATTCTATTGCATTTGCTCATAAGTAAAAAAGAGATATACCTAAGGCTCTGTTAGAACTTTAAAAAGTAGGATAATTAAAGCATGGCATCAGGACAGAATCACCGAAGAAAATGTGTTCTAAAATTATTCGCATATATTGAAATATAAGCAATGATAAATTAGCTCTTCGAATAATACCAAGAACTTGAGCAGAAGTAATTCGTTTTTTGGGGTCTTGTGTCAGCATCCTCTGAACTAAGTCTTTAGCACTACTTGATATAGATGGCCAAGGTTGACTTTCAAAGTCAATTTCCCCCTTCAATATGGAATCAAATATTCCTTTCTCTGTTTCTGCAATGCACATTATTAAAAGATATGATTCCAACATTTCCAAGCTAAAAGCAATTTTATACGTAAAAGCATTTGTTATACAACATGATAAAAGAATCTGACTTTACCAGCCCAGAAAGGAGGTACACCACATAGTAAGATATACAATATAACTCCAGCACTCCAAATATCTATCTCCTTTCCATATCTACGCCGCAACACTTCAGGAGCAACATAATAAGCACTCCCAACTATATCACGATACACCTTTCCTGGAGAGAGAGTTCAATTGGTCAGTTTAATGGAATATAACAATAATTTATTAAAGACAGATAGATGCCATGCATACTTCTACTAGAAAAATTCCAGATTTGACATCCTTGGCTACTAATGGCATACGAAATAAAGAAATCATTTAATGTAGCTAAGAAGTAATGCATTTCTACCAAGAACAAAGATATTATCTGTCTATATACTGTCCCTACCATACTGTAACTGCACTTCATGATGTCATCTTAAGTAAGATCTAAGGAAGGCTTGCACGCAAAGGTTTCAGAAGTCATAACAAACCTACAGTATTTCTTCAGGAACAAAGATTGCTTCAGTTGGGCATAAGGAGAAAATGTACAAGTTCACAAAGTTTTCCCAATGGTTTTATAATGATAAAAATTTGTGGCTTTCAAGGAATCTCAACTTTAATGTCAACATGCTCTTCATATTCTATTTTAAATCTTGTACTTATTGGGAATTTCCTTTTCAGCAGTGAACTTCTACGAACACTCATGCATAGTTAAAGCAACTCTTAGATTAGTTAAATAGACTCGCAACCAAGTTACACTTGCAACCAAGCTCTCCAATCATCCTAAGTCTGAATTTCTAGTGGGACATGAGAAGTTTATCCAAATTGGCATAATAGAGAGCCCACATTTGGATAGTTGGATGCCCACTAGCCATTGCTGATCACAAAAAAATTGCCCCACAGAGTATGGGCCTACATCAAGAGTTCTTCCATAGCTTCTTAATTAATTTTCAAGTTAAAGATGAAGAAGCCATTACCAATTGTCATAACTTCTTCAATAGCATTCTTCCAAATTCTTTCCATTCAAGTTTTTACTTGAAGGAAAGGGATTTTTTTTTTTTTTAGTACCTGAAACATCCCATCAAGGCATTATCCAAAATGGTAAAAAGGAAACATCGTTAGCATCATCTTTCAACAATCCAACATCTTTGTGTTTGAGTTCTTTCTTTCTTTCTTTTACTCAATCATTTTGGTCGATGGCTTGAATTTCTTCATTTGCAACAACAGTCCACAGGTTGGATTTTTTACCAACCTAGGTGTTGAAGGTCTCTCCCAAACATTAGATTTTTTTCACATCTTATTTTAAAGGGCATTGCTTGGTTGGCATAAAGAATCTTGGGGAAAGGTGATATTTTTTCCTTTTCAACAAAGTTAAGTTTACAAGAAATAATTAAGGAATGTGCTTGGAGAAGGATCAATGCAGTCTTGCAGTTTCATTGATCACAGCTTTTATGCTTTAGAACAATGGTTATGTGACATCATGGTTGAGTTGCTACTTTCCTTCAATTTAAAGGATTTCACCCTGAGCAAACCTTTCCTAGAGGATATATTATGAGATGACATGGTCTTGTTAATAACAAACTAATCTTTCCTACTTGTTTATCTCAAGTAGACTAGGAGTGGATCTCTTTAAATGGCATGGCTCTTCCTTCATTCCCTAGGTTTGAAGGTCTTTGCATCAGTACTTTTTAAGATCACAAGTATCTTCAAATTCAACTTAAATATCAAAAGTCATACCAAAAGGCAGGATAACAATATCGTAGAAGTGGAGGAGAACTAAGTTCCAGAACTCCACTTTTGTTGTTTGTGTTATAACCTATCTAAAGAACTAAGTTCCAAATTAGGATTAAGATGAAATTTGTGAGATCTGAACATGTTCCGCATACCAACTACAACCTAGTTCTTGGATGTTTAAGTCCGCTACAATCAAATGTTGGTGTATTATGATTTTGAATATATTATCAGCCAGAGATTAAATTTAAATATAAACAATTTTCAATCATGTGCAACAAATATCCAAATAACAAAATGTTGAAGTTAGAAAACGTATGAATCAATCTTCTAAACATTTTGAGTTTCAGTGATTTGACAATGTTTTCTGTTCCAACATTCCATAAATGCAAAAACACAAACATAAAGCGATTTAATTCAAAATTTCATCCAAAAATTCAAAAGAAATGACAATATGAGAGCCTTACCTTCTTCAATGAACACCGATAACCCAAAATCCGCGGCCTTCAAAAGAGCATTCTCACTTCTGTCAGATAACAAAAAGTTCTCGGGCTTGAGGTCCCTATGCATCACACCCATAAAATGGCAAATGTGCACGACATTCACAATTGCTCTGCATATTGAAGCTGCAGCCCTCTCACTATAATGCCCCTTAGCAATAATCCGATCGAAGAGCTCTCCTCCGGCACATAGCTCCATCACTACATTCACCGATTCTCTATCCTCATAAGCACCCTTAAATTCAACAATATTGGCCTGCCCACTCATATGCTGCATAATCTGAATCTCTCTCTTTATGTCCTCCTTATCATTCTTGCTCACAAGTTTTCTCTTAGATATAGACTTGCAAGCATATTGCTTACCAGTCGAATTCTCAGTACAAAGATATGTGACCCCAAATTGACCTCTACTCTCAGTACAAAGATATGTGACCCCAAATTGACCTCTACCCAATTCTTTTCCAATTGTATAGTGTGACTTAACATCTTCATATGCTTTCCCCAATATTGTATCTGGCCTGTGAACTGGTTTGGGACTCGGGACCGGTTTTACCGGCAATTTGGCCGCCTGCTGCGCGCCAGTTGCGCGCCTTTCTGGTAATTGGTGGGGTTGTGGAGCAGGAGATTTGCTATAATGAATTGCAGGTTCTTGGGTTTTTTGGTATTGCATCCCAACACCACCACCACCACCACCAACTGATCTACTTGCAGTTTTGCCTTTGCTACAACAAGTACCCATTTTTCTTCTTTTCTTTCTTTGTCGCCAAATCCACAACTTTTTGAGAGAAAACCCCAATCAGGAGAATACACTAACAAGAATATATAGATGATATGGCAGTTGACTCTTCAGCAATCAAAAGAAGAAGAAATAAATTAAAAAAACCCAAAACCCAGATAAAGATTCAGAAAAAAATTGTAAAAAACATAAGATTTTGGATCAAAACATGAATCAGAAATAGATAAATGATGAAACCCAGATTGAGATACAGAGAAAATATATGGTGGATGTGTCGCAAGGACACAAATAGGGAGTGGGAACAGAAAGGGGATCAGATTTTGGATATAAAAGCTGATTCTTTTCTTCAGAAAAGGTGTGATAGATTTACAAATAGACAGAAACTTGGTCAGCTAATTGTAGGAGTTCAAAGGTTGAATCATTCAATACCCACTTGAGAGAGAAACAATATATATGAGAAAGAGACACACACAATCCAGAGAATCCATTGTAGTGGTGAAGCCAACAAGAAGGCACCTAAAAGACCTTTATTTTTATTTATTTGTAGAATTAATACTCCTCCTCCTAGTAGCATAAGCGTGTTTGTTGCGTCAATATAGTTACCAACCGACAAGGAACTCTCCTTCAACTCTTTGAATTTTGTTTTAATATTTCACGCGGAATAGATAATTTAATATCTGCATTTAATATAAAGTAATACAGTTACAAATCTTATTTCAATTTTTTTTTTTTTCTATTGGAATATATGGATAGTTGACCATTTTTTTTTTGTTTTTTTAAACACCAACTAGAGAAGACTATTAATAGAATAAAAGAAGAATTACAATCAAGAGCTAAGGTATCAGGAATACACATTTGTGATGTAGATTAAAAGTAAATTTATCTGATTAGAATTTTGTCAATTTTAGTACTCTCCCATCCGATTTTAAGTTTCTCTTCTTGGAATTTAACTTCTATTTTTGTTACTAAATCTATGTTTCACATAATGATATTTTATTTTTATAAATTCAATATAATAAGGTACAATAATGTTATAAAATATAGTATATTAACTTTTAAATTAAGACATTTATGGTTAAAGGAAGAAATATGATTTTAGAATAGTTTACTGTTTGATTTATGTATTTAAATTTCAATAATACTCCAATGAAAAATGCTAGTTTGACTGAAATAACGATAATTGAAATTAATCAATTTCATGAGAGCTATATATATATATATATATATATATATATATATATATATATATATATATATTTGTGTGTAAATTTGATGTGTCATAATAGATTTACACAAAAATTTTAGATTATTTATTTTTAGTTATAGAGGTTATTTTATACCTTTTGTGTAAAAATATATCTCCTCAGTGTTATGTCTAAATCCCACATAATTTTTACAAACCTATTTAATATAGGGTTGATTGGTTAATGGAATAAGAAAGATAGATGACAAAGAAATATGATGATGTGGTTGTGTAAAAAACACAACAATTTTACATATTTGTGACGTGAAGTGTATTTTAATAAACTGCTGGAGATAATACACATCATACATGGCGGTGGGTCCCATTTTTATAAAATCAAAGGCAATAAAAATAGCAAAGTACATAATAATATTGAAAATGTTAAAATTGGATTTTGTTGATCAACATTTGTAAATGAGCGGTGCTAGATTTTACTAAGAAAATATTCAAGATTGTATCACAACTAGTAAAAACTATATTGTATTTCTTCACTCCGGTCACTATCTTCTCTTTATTAGGTTACTTTCTCTCTCAATATTCTCTTTCCAAAATTATAAAAATTCATAGCCTTTCTCCACCATAGTCATTACAGACGTCAACATTGAAGCCCTTCAAAACAATTTTCCCCTACATATGCATCAGACAATTATCTATGACTAATTTTGTTTATAGGTGCCTTAATTTTTTTTTTTGAGTAATCATCCTAATCCTAGCTCCTAAGTCCTAACTATGCAGGGAAGGTACACATATAATCTTAAATTTTGGAGTTACAATTTCAAACCTATACATAATAATTATTTACATTTCTTTCGATCCTCTCCATGGTTAATTATACATAACTCCTATATATATATATATATATATATACACCACACACATTGTGTTTAACCAAAATTCTAAAATTGTTACCAGGGCAACTTCCAAAAAGAAATATAAGAACGGTCAAAGAAAAAAGAAATTTGCTCTCAAAAGGAAATTTGAGTGAGGATTTATCTCTCACACTAATAAAATCATAAAAAACACTTCATGATCTATATCATTTTTCTTTGTAAATTAAATAACATTTCATGGTTCGATGGAAATAATAAGGCCCACGATAATATTGAAAATGCTAAATTTGGATATGATTGATGAAAATTTGTAAATAAAATAAAAATATATGTGATTATAATGAGATAATCCAAATATAGTAAGAAATTTTGTGACTTGTGTAGTACATTAAATTTAGCATTACTCTTTAAATATCTAGAGGCGATAGATAACTGATCATTAAGTATTATACAGTTGTCATGGATTTTTTTGGTTGCTTTTGCGGTTTATCAACTATTGTTGGTTTTTGGTAAAGTGATGCATTATTTGCACCCTACAAAAAGCTATCACGCGCTTCACATTTTTTTCTCAAAAAAACGTAGAATGGAAGCTTTTTCCCTTAATCTTGGCAGCATTATGCATCATATTATATATATATATATACATATATATATACACATATATATATACATATATCTCCCCCCCTCTCTCTCTCTCTCCCCTCCATGTGTCCCCTTAACAAAAATCTCTCTCTCTCATATGCAGCTGTTTTTGCCTCTCTGGAAAGTGACCATAAGACAAATACTATGGGCCTTTGTATGATATGTTATATAAGATAGTTGACTAAGTCATATTGCAATATGTATCAATAATAGTGCGGCTATAAACTCAGGTTTTGTTTGTGATTCCAATTACTAGATCATAATCCAAGTCTGCCACGTACTACACTTGACTTTGATATATAATTATATTCTGTATGTATATATTAAACTTGTAGATTCTCCTTGCCTTTCTCAGTTTTTGTTTTCTACAATCCGAGGTAGATAAAAGAGTGAGGAAAAATATTACTATTAAATATGATGCACTTCTATTCGATAAGGAACAATTATATACTATCATACAACGTGATATATTTGTGTTATACTATTAAGTCGATAATAAATTTAACACATTTATATAATTGTTGTATTGCTAATTTAAAATTGTTGCATTAACAATTTAAAATTATTATGTTAGACCGAAATAACACAGGAGGGAGATGGAAAATACCCTCAATTTTGTTTGACTCAATGGCAAGTTTGATTTTTGAAAAAACAAGACATTGAAAAGATAGGGAAAAGAAAAAGAAAAAATGTTAGAAATTGGAGGGCTTTGTTATTAAAATGACATTATTGAAATTCTAGAAAATTCTGAGATTGACTGTTCTGATGGAGGGCGTTTTTGAACTTTCCATATGAAAGAAGAATATAGGTTGGTTCCAAGGGTCTTGTCTGGTGCCAACATTTCTTGGTTGAAGCTTCCGTTTGAAAATTTGTGTTTGGGTGGTGGTAGTGGTGTCTACTGTGTGTAGTGTTGGCTCCAGAATTTTAAAGGTGTCTCTTCTTTTATATGTTTAATATGTTAATATAAATAATATTGATTAAATCTTATTATGGAATTCATAACTTTTTTCACATAAATTGAATTCCATAATTATTCAATTCAGTTTCTAAATAACTATTCTAGTTAAAGTAAAAATATATTTATGACCTAAATTCAATTCAATATTAAAAATTAGAAGTTTTTCAATCAATTTATCTTTCTGGACCACACCAACTGTATATTACGCGTTAAATGAAAACTTAAGTATAAATTCTTCTTAAAGAAATCTAATATACCTAGTCTTTACGGTTCTTTTTCTAAACAACCTTCGTTGTCAATTTGTCATGATGACCTAGTTGTTGAGCTAATGACCCTTTGCTTCATAGAATTCTAGAGGAAATAATTTCTAAACAAAAGAAAGAGAGGTAATATTGATTAATTTACAAATAATTATTATTTAATTGTAGAGTTTTAATTTGGAACCACGTTTTTTTTTTTTTTTTTTTTGTAGATGAAGAGGTTATGCCATTAAACTAGAGCCCTTTGATTAGAAAAAATAATTATATTACAATAAAAAAAGTCAAATGAAGCAAAGTGAAAGAAAAGAAAATAAATTTTTTATAATGCATTTTGTTAAAATAAAAATAAATTATTTTTTAACCTAACTTATCACTTGTACCTATTAATGTTTAATAACGCAATTTGAATATCATTTTAAAAAGTTACATATCATTTTAAAAAGTTGTAGTGACTTTGTTAACTTTAGCATTTAAAATTCAGTTATCAAAATTTTCAGCAAGTAATTTTCAATTTATTTATTTATCAAACAGCTCTCAAAAGTTTATATTTCATATAAAAATTTAACGGAAAAAAATGGTTTCTAAAAATTGTACACAATAATTCACAAATTTCAGGATGAATTTTTATCAAACAAATCGATTTTTTTTTATTTTTAAAGATAGTGTCCTCAAAATATTTTTAAAGTAAGGTACACTATTAAAAAAATTCCCCAAACTCTTCATATTTAATCATTGAATTACAAAAAATATATTAAATAATTAATTTAACTTTTCATATTTCAAAAGATTCTTTCATAACTGAATTAAAAAAAACTCATAACAATTGTCACATATGGCCTTTTAATAGGGTTCCTCAATTTTATTTTAGTAATCCCACCCAAATTATACAGTATACCCAATACCTGTTTCCATCCAACATTTATCCAAACAAAATATATATATATATATATCGCCGAAGATAGCGGACGATAGGATACATTGACGTGTTCACGTGATGATGGTTGAAGAATAATACATGTATGTATGTGTGTTGTATATATATATATATATATATATATATATATGGGTTAAATGCAAAAAATCCCCCTGAACTATTGACTAATTAGCAACAAACCCTCTGAACTACAAAAATTGCAACAAATCTCCTGAACTATACATTTTTGTTACAGATGACTCCATCAGGCGACTTTCCGGTTGAATCTCACCGGCAAAATATCATGTGCCATCACGTGATACAAAATATCTAACTTTATGACCATATTGTCCTTCATAAGCATGAAACGACTCCATTACCCTTCTTGTGACCATTACCATCATCGCCGAAACAATCCACTGCCACCACCATCAAGCACAATCACCACCTCATCCATGGTCCCTAGCAATCCAAACGCACACATCAACACATTCTCTCTCCTCTCCCTGCAGACCAATCCTCTTCAGATTATTCATCAATGATTTCACCTGCATCGCATACTAGGATTTTGGTAAAATTCAATCAATAGTTTCACCCTCTGATTTCAAAAAAGAACAGAAAACTAACAAATTGTAATCAAAATGGCTAAACAGAGACAATAAACAAAACAATATGGAATAACACTCGGTTTTTTTCCCCACAGA